GAAAGAAAACTTGATTAAAAATATAATTTAATTATATTTTTTATTTTTCTATTTTTAAAATCAAGTAAAATTTAATTATTAAAATTTGTATATTTTTAATCTTTTCAACATTTAAATAAAGTATTAATTCATTGTTTGTTTTAGGATAATTTATAAAAAAATTAAAAAAGAAACACAAAGGACCATCCTTTTCAGGACTTTTGAAATCATCTTGAATATTTCCCCTTGATTTGATGAGTCTGACGAAATCTCCGTGATTCACCGACGTTGTTATCAAGTCCTTAATTAAGTTTTATTCAAGTTAAAATCTAGTTGAGTTTTAAATTCTATTGTGATTAATTAAGTTATATATACAATTGATTAATTATTATTTGGTTAAATGAATTTATCAAATTAGGTCAATTGAGTAAAGTAAAATAAAGTCTCAATCTGACAAGGCACATTTAATGTTAAACTCTACCTTGTTTTACTGAGATGAAATATGAAATAAACGTAAAACTTTTTAAGTTTTAAGGCTTTCGTACCGTAGATTGTAATACTTTTCTTTATCCTAAAAAATTGTTTCAAGAAAGATATTCCATGAATTATATATATATATATAATTTATTATTAAAAAATTTAAATTAAATGTAAATTTTTTAAATTTATATTAATTATTAAAATCCTTTTTCAGATATATATATATATATATATATATATATATATATATATATAATTTAGCGTGGAAAAGGATAAGCATATGTGTGCATACACCTCATCGCCTCCTTTAATTATTAGTTTTGGGACCGCATTTTAATTCTTAACCTCCAAGTATATATTAGAGTACAATTATTCCAGTGTGCATCACATGATTAATTTAAGGGGTAATGTTTGATTACGGATCTTCAATATCTAATTTATATATAAAATACTGTGTAAGTATAATTATGTATATCTCAACCATCTCAAGTTTCCTAGAAGATATAAACAATAATCAACGTACAAAATTCTTCATCATGTTCCTCCTCTACATTCATAACAATGGAAAACAATTAGTAAGTATTAAATCTAGCTTCTATTTTATACATGTTCAAAGACAAACTTAGGGGTATTGAGATTTACTTTGCCAGCGTTAAACCACTGAATAAGTGTTTTATATATATATGCCTTCATCGCTACGGGTTGATAAAGGTTTTTGTCTTCTTCCCCTTGAAATCGTAATTGTGGAGCTGTCAATTGTTAATTAATTAATATTATGAGAGATCACATGGCTCGTATCAGTGCAATTTGTTCACTGGTTACACTAGAAAAGGCACATCTAATTCAAGGACTAAACCATGTTTATCGATTCCATAACCCAAGGAAGAGCAACCCACACGTGAGATTGTTTAATAATCTGAATAAGGTTTTTTTATTCGACCATCAAAAGTAAAACAAAGACTAAGATTCCCTTTTCAAGTTAATGCAATTTATTTCTCCATCGCATAGTTGTGGGGCTCCATTCTGTTCATTAATCCTTTTCAATCTTTTTTATATACAGCATAAATAAATATGAAGATAAGGTGCCATTCAGCACCAACTAAGAGAGTGCTGGAAGCTGAACCTGTAATAGTCAGACCTGAATGTCCCTCTCAAAAAATTTAAATTGAATGAACCATAATTTCTCAGACTATGAAATTTGTGTTCAGGTTTCCATTTTCTTCTACCAACTTGTCGATCGTTTTTTCTCTTCTAATAAGAAAGAAGAGGTTTAACGAAATTCATTCCAAAAACGGAATTAATGTAGCAGTGTAATATATTATTAATTAAAAATATAAATTTTCATATATCGATACTATTAAATATTATATTTTTAATAAAAAATATAAAAATTTAATTCTAATTCAGTGCAGTTTTACTTACAGTCTCGTCAGATGATAAATTATCACATCCCTGAAATAACCTGGAGATAAAAATTAATGTCTGTCTTGTTGAATTCAATTGATCGAAAGCCGATTGCAGCCAACCCCATTATGTTAAAATTACCCATTTAATAGATGAAATCCTTTTATTTCTTAATTTTCTTCACCCTAAAGCTAAACATAAAATGCCAAATTAGCATTAGTTAGACCCTCGTTTGTCTGTATCGATAGTATCCATATGTAGTTAGACCCTAGAAACGTCACTGAAAGGTACTTAAAGTTACATTAAATTCTCTCATTCTGAAGAATATTTGTGGAGGAGAGATCTTCCTGAAAAGGGGAAAAAAGTGTAACATTTGGCTTAACCATAGTAGTTTCTTCTATTTTAAGTTTCGTTACTATTTTAAGGTTCAGTCCATACGACAGGCATATCTTTGTTTATTTTATGAAGTATATATTTTTTGATCTTATAAAAAATGGTTACTCTCTATAATCGATCTTCCATACACAATGTATATATACAAGATTTGTGAATATATGCTAAAAAAATCTTTAAAAAAAGAAGAAGAAAAAAAACACTGTTACAATGGCCACGATGAGGGATTATCGATTGATTTGAGCACTTGCATGCTGACTAAGCATTTGGGATACCAAAAACAAAAGTTGTAGAGTTTTGGAGTGTTGTCTGCTTCGAAGAGCTCTAATTTTGATTCCTAATCACTCCTTGTTTTAGTGAATTTCTTTGGTGCATGTACTTTATAAACTTTAACATATGTATTTAACCCAAGGGCTAGATACTTTGTATAGTTGGACTCAATAAATTTTATATAAAGTATACCACTACTCGGACCATATCTAAAGCGTTGAAATATGAATCTTTAATAGTCTACTCAATCCACCTAGAAATTTCTCCTCAACCTCAAAAAATCCAATATACATGCATTAAAGAACTTATTTATCTACAAAAATTACAAATGGTTGATAAGAAGTTGAGAAACGTAAATTACTAAAATTACTATGTTTTAATCGATCAATGTTATGCTATAGGTCAAGATCCAATTTTCAATATTTGGGATGATTTATTACAAGTCTCTTATCTCTCTCAAGTTAGATGGCTGTTGTTAATTGGGTGTGGTATCAAGGACAGTTTATTCACTCTCAGATTCTGTTGTCTTTTTAACCCCTTTAATTCCATAAATATATGTAAAAGTTACATGTGCTAAATATGATGTTATAATAATTTTTTGAAGAAGGGCAATTTTTAATATATTTATATATTTTCTTGGCATGTATAATTCTTCAACTTATGAATGTTAAAGATATTTTGCAATTTGATTATTAAAAGATAATCATATTTAAAGTTGATGTAACATGTCGTTGCCTAAGTCATCACTTAAACTCCATTATCTATAAGAAAAAAGTAAAATAAAGATTAAAAAAAGTGATGATGGGTGAGAGTTGAGTGTCACATCACATCTACCGATACAAATAATAATGACAAAATGTTTATGAATGAAAGGGTCCAAACCCTACCAATTGGTTGCTTGCCCAATCCCTATCTCCAATCGCCAAGAAAAGAGATTCATTGCACTTTTGCACCTTTGAATTATTAACCAAACGCAAGTTTTTTCCAAGGGTATATCCGTCATTCCACTCTTAAAGAGCTTCACACTCGCCATTTCATTTTCTAGAAAGCACTGAATAATACCAAAATTATGAAGAGACTCATTCCCTCACGCGCCAGCGTAGACTCAGTTGCATCTGCCACGTGTACCCAAGACTGTGTCTCTCTCGACCCATTCGTTACACTTTGCTTCGTTTATTATTATTTTTTCTTTCAAATTTTATAATGCAGAAGCAAAATTTATATTACTTTTCTGAAGAATAAAATTTAGAATTATCATCTAACAACGTTTTGATAAAATATTATTATTATTATTTTGTATAAAAACTAATCATCAATCTTTTAAAAGTCACATAAATATGTGTCTTTCAATTAAATTAAGTAATCATTCATAAACATGCGTCTTTTAAAAAATAGTAACTCAGCCATCAATTTTATAAAACAATCGGTATGGCCTCGAATATTTTAAATTCAAGTGTGATACTAATGTTAATTTTCTTCTATTAGTCATTTTTCTCTTTCTTCATTTCGTCACTTGATTTTTTTAATGTAACAAAATAACAACAATATGCTCTAAAATACCTTTAATTTGTCATTCTTTTCATGTATTTTAAAACATTCATTATACTGTAAGATTTTAAAATTTAAGATAATTAATTACTTCTAAGCCGCTTTACTAATTATTTATATAAAAAATTAGATTAACTAGTAAACACTAAATATAGAAAACAAAAAGTTACACAATTTGATATTCCCTCTAATATTTTTAATTAAAATTTTGTTAATTTTTTTAAAAAATTTGTAGTAAGTTAATTTTATTGTTATTTAATATCATTAGACCTAATTCTACAATTAATATTTATATTTGTTAATTTAACTTTAAATTTTTACCAAAAGCATTTATTAAGAATAAATAAAAATAAAACGTCTTTTGGAGACTTATTAAAGAATTGAAAATAATTTTTTATTAAAAATTACCCTAAAATATGTCAAAAAACAATCTTATTATTTGTATGGGACACCCCAATGACCCAACCCACGGTTTCTGAACGAGCCAAATTTGTCCACGTGCCCAACCGGTGACACCAAATCACAGCATTCCACCACGTGGTGTCGAATGTATGGCAGTTCCAGAACTCTTTAACTCACAGCCTGGTAGCTTTAAATTCAATCACTTCAGGTGGTATCATACGGGGAGACAACTGAATTGTCACTGTTTCAAAAATGAACGGCGCAGATATCATCCGTACGCGTTCATCGCGATCTACGCCGCTAAAATCAGAATCTTGGTTCTTGCCACCGTGTCCGATACGTGTTCGGTGCGCGTTCAAGCTTCTCCCTAAACCTTAATTATTTCACAAATTAACAACAGATTAAAAGCTAACACTTTTATTACTTCTAATTAAGGAAAATTACTTTCCTTTTTGTTTTTGTGGGTTCATATTTTTGTTTTTGTTTTTGCGTATTTACCCTTTTTTATTTCAACTACCAAGAAACGCGGTCTAATTGTCCCCAATATAACCCTCTCCTTCCTACTAGGGTTCCATGCCTCACATCTCCCCGCATTTCCCTCTCCCTTGTCTCTTTCTCTCTCTCAACGTTTGAAAATTTCTGACTTTTGTTCTGGATTCTCAATTCCTTCTTGTTTTGTTTTGTTGGGTTCAAACTCAAAATTTTGCCTCTCATTTCTGGGTTTTTCAATTGAAGTGACAAAGATTTCAAATTGGAAGGGGATTTCCGGTTTCAGGTGGTTCAATTTTGAATTTATTGGGAGATTTTTGGGTTTCAATTCCTGGATTTTCAAATTGAAGTGGTGGAAGTTATCAAACCGGAGATAATTTATTTCAATTCCATTTTAGGATTTCGGGTTTTTTTTTATTTAATTTTCAAAATTGGATTTTGAGCAACGGGTCTGTGAAATCTGGTTTTTTGATTCCCGGGTGTTGAAATTGAAGTGAAAAGGCTTTCAAATTGGAGAGAAATTTCGGTTTTGGCAACTGGGTATGCGAGATAGGTATTGGGGGGAAGAGAAAGTGAGGTTGTGTGAGTTGCTTTTTTTGTGAGAATGCCCGCGACGGACTTTCAAGGTTCGTCTCCTTCATCGTTAACCCATTTTGGCCGTTCAATTCTGAGTCTCCGTCGTGATCAGGTTCACTCCATCTCCATGGAAGGTTCGAGCTTGGAGACCGAGTTGGAATCGTTTCAGCAACGTGTGACTGACCGGTTCCTTGAACTCTCTTCGATTGCTCAGGATGATTTGCTTTCACTCTCGTGGATTGGGAAACTTCTAGATTGCTTCCTCTGTTGCCAAGAGGAGTTCAGGGCCATTCTCCATTCACACAAGGCACAGGTGTTGAGACCCCCCTTGGATCGCATGGTCTCTGATTATTTTGAACGTAGTGTGAAGGCTTTGGATGTTTGCAATGCGATTCGTGACGGGATTGAGCAGATTCGCCAGTGGCAGAAGCTGTTGGAGATTGTGCTCTATGCATTGGGGCATCAAAGGAGCATTGGTGAGGGCCAATTTCGTAGAGCCAAGAAGGCCCTCATTGATTTGGCAATTGGGATGCTTGATGATAAGGACTCCAATGCTTCTATTGCTCATCGAAACCGGTCTTTTGGCCGCAGCACTGGTAGCAAGGAGCATCACAATCATAGTCATAGTCATAATCACAATAATAGCAACTATCACCATCGGTCTTTGGGGCATTTTCGATCGCTTTCATGGAGTGTTTCGCGTACTTGGTCTGCTGCTAGACAGCTCCAAGCAATTGGGAACAACATTTATCCCCCTAAAGCAAATGATCTTGTGGCTTCCAATGGTCTTGCAATGCCAGTGTTCATCATGAATTCGATTCTGTTGTTTGTGATGTGGGCTCTTGTGGCTGCAATTCCATGCCAGGACCGTGGATTACATGTCCATTTTACCATTCCTAGGAATTTCTCGTGGGCTGTTTCATTGCTCTCGATTCACGAAAGGATCATGGAGGAGTCGAAGAAGCGGGAGCGGAAGAATTCCTGTGGCTTGCTCAAGGAGATTTATCAGATTGAGAAATGTGCTAGAGTGATGAATGAATTGGCTGATTCTGTGCACTTCCCATTGTCGGAGGAGAAAGAAAGGGAGGTTAGACAGAGAGTGGAAGAAGTTTCACTGGTTTGCGATGCTTTGAAAGATGGACTAGACCCTTTGGAGCGCCAAGTGAGGGAGGTGTTCCATAGAATCGTGCGCAGCCGGACAGAAGGGCTTGATTCTTTTGGCAGGCCTAGCAATGCTGAGTAATTTGCTGCCCGCAGTAATTTTTTGTGGGTGCTGAAATGAAAATACAAGTTGTGACATTATAATAGCCTAATTTCGCTTCCATAGAAATAGAAGACTACAAAGAAGAAGCAAGTGACCTATGGAGATAAAAGAGGAAGAAAGACAAAGGCTGGTGGTTTGACGTGAAGATTATGCCAACAATAAAGTGGTAAGGGGGAGGATTCTTGTACTTAGAAACCGTATAAAATGTATAGAATTTAGGATATTTCATGTGGGATCCTTGTGGTCTGTGCTGTTTGTTTTCCTCCCCTCTTGTTTTTGTCTTGTGATGTTGCTATTGTATAATCAATTTTCTCTTTAACTTGCTGCATCCTCATTGTAGCTGATTTTGTTCATGAATATGTATTAGATAAATCTTCTTTTGGTTCATATACTTACAATTGTATTTGGAAGAGCATATTATTATTAAATCCTGCCTTCCTTTGGAGTCCGGGAATTGTTTAATTTTCATTAAGCTCTATGGATTAACTGGAGAAGAAATTAATCTTGATCAAATCCTGAGGAATTTATATCTTTATTATACTACCTTCGTTCTGATTTTCATTTCCATTATCATTTGTGGACTTCAATTGTTGTGAATGACATTGACAATGACCAGGTACTTAGTTCCGTTCCATACCTACAGTTTTGTGTTAGGAAAATATGGTCTTAAAAAGATTTTGCGATTTGTACTTAAAATGCACTTGATGCAATCAAAATTAAAGTTTCACGACAAATAAAATATACAATTGTTTCACTCACTCTTGAGCCATTCATTCGCACATACTCTGAAATTGGAGATGGCACAAGTTAATCTGATATTTCTGTTTTTATTTGGCCCACTGTTCTTATGTTAAAATTCCAGTCTTATGCATTTGAGTAATGAAAATATTACCGAAACTGTTTAGTGTCACACCTGAATCTTTAATGCGTTTGATTTTTGCAGTCAAGTCATTTAAGTTGGTGGACTTTGACCTGGCTTATTGCCATCCATAATTGAACTTCTTGGCAAGGTGACACTAGTTCCTGGTCAAGTTAAAACTTGTTGACCAGGTGTCAATGAATTCTTTATTCTTTATGACCTCTTATAAAGTCATCAGGATTTTCCTTTTGGGTAACATCTGTGTTAGGACTCTAAAGGGTTTCCAAAATTTTCTAGTGGTCTCTCATTTTTTGCTATAAAATGTCCTAGGCAAAGTTCAGCGGGTGAGTTATTGTATATATTTGTCTAAATAATTGCTGTATATTTTTGTCTTTCAAGTTTCATTGAAATAATATTGTTCAATCATTAGGGCATGCAATTTATTTTTGGATAGTATCTTCATGATAATTTCTACAAATACTTGTTTATCTATCTGTACGCACCTGCTGTCTCTGCAACTTGTGCGGAGGTTTAAAAGGATGATTTTGCTTAACTAGCAAACTATTGTCTTTCCAGCTCAATACAATGTGCATTAATTAACAAAGAAAAAAAAAGTTATGCTATTGATTGTCTATTCTAAAGTAAAAGAATAAATTTCTGAGTAATGCTACAAAAGGACTACTGATGTTGTAACATGCTAGCATGCTGCTTTAGAAAATAGCTTAGTGCCAACCGTAGAGTTTGTTATGCATATGGTGGTTGGACTTGGTCCCCTCAACTGTGGAAGTTGATTGATGAATCAATCTACTCAACGCCACCCACCCCTTATATTTAAGGATCGTTATGAAGTCCTTTTACATTATAATTTAAGCATATATTGACACCATCAAAGAATCTGGTTAACTCTTTAATTGTAATAAAATGTCAAATTATGCAAAAACAAGACTTGGACAAACTTCTAGTGTTTGTAATGTTTTTCAATAGAAACTCAACATGTGTAATATTTTTTAAATTATTTTTTCTTTCTTTATAAAGTTTTCTATTGAGCTAAAAAAGTGCATGCTATATTGTTAGTAGTATACAATATCATATGCAATATATGATTAAACTATATAAATAATGATCTTTTTACACTATTGTAAGTTTAAAATTTTTATACTTGATACGAGTGTATTAATAAATTATAATTCGTTAGATATGAATTGAATAAAAGACTTAAATTAAGAGTAAGAGATTTTAGACTTATACAAGTATAAGAAAATTTTGTATATATATATATAAATAGAAACTTATAATTAAAGTCATTGACAATCTATTCCAGCATCTCAAGCCAGATTTGCCAGTGTAATTGGCTTCGAAGTGGTGCTTTCTTAGACAATTATAGACAATGTCTTTCCCATGGCAATACTAAGGTCGTTTGTGTGTGTCTTTTTGTTTGACTGAGAGGTGAAGCGCCAATGTGTAACGTGCTTTTGAAATTAGTAAAAGTAGAGTTGACTGTTGAGATCAAACGGATTTTTGGATAAGTTGGTTTAATTGAGCATGTTTTTGGATGGATGTTGATTCTTCTTAATGCGTGATGAGCTTGATTATAAATAACTGCGTGACATACGAGAATAAAATATGTATATATTTAATAAAGAGAATACAAATATTACTTAAACAAAAAAAAACTTAAAAGTATAAAATTTTCAATAGGAAAATAAAATATTCTCCACAGTGGAACATTTTTTTATATATGGATTTTTTTTAAAAATTCAAAAAATATGGAATTTTTTATAAAATTCAAAAAATATGGAATTTTTTATAAAATTACGAAAATATGATTTTTTTGTAAAATCACCACCGGCAACTTTTGGTACGAAAATAGTCATTGGTGATTTTTATATACTTTTTAAATATTTAATTATGTTTTTAAAAATTATTATTGACGATTTTTAATTTTTTAATATTTTTTTCTAAATTACCTTTTGAACTCTATATTCTCGTAATTTTACCAAAAAAATCATATTTTTTATATTTTAAAAAATAAAAATCATATAAAAAAAAGGTCATAGATGAAAATAAAAATTTTCATTCACTAAATTTTTCTATAATAGTTAAATAATAATCAAATATCTTAAAGAATCTTATTAGAGCGAATGAAATGCTTAGAAAATTAATTTAGTAAGAAACGAAACATTTTCCATAAAACATTGGCAATGCGATCAACTTCACTTAAGTCTAGTTCTTATCTCCCTCGATCAAGTTCTTCCTTTGCCTCTTCTATCCTAACCCATAAATTCCTTTCACCGACTCTGGAATGAAAGGCTTTTGTTTTCATCCCTCTTTATTATGCTTCACCTTAGCGTCATCCAAACATGACACTTCCACATCTTTCTTGAACATTCTTCATCCATCATGAACAATTCTTGATGTCAAATGTTTGAATCAGAATGAGAGGTAGATTGACCTTATGGGCAATGAGGATGAACAAGGTGTGTTTGGCTATTACAAGATTGGAAATTAGACTAGTTTTGGTGATTTTGTGTACCAATTCCTTCTCCATAGCTGTTGTTCTTGTATTTTCTTACAAGCAGAATCATGTAAAATGGAAAAGGCAAATGATGAGTAGATTACACATGTCTCCCATCATGATTGATTAAGCAAATGAGAAGGGCACATTCATTTATTCTATGATACCAAAAAACCTTATAAATAACCCATGGTGCCACGTTCATGCTATGCTTTTGAAACTCTCTGCATTAAAGCCAAACCGTTTCCTTTTGTCGAATAAAAGCAAATAGTCTTACACATCAACTTCCTATTCGATTAGGTTCTCTTTATGGTTTAATTGCTTGGAATGGAGGGCACTTTTGTTGTTCTTCATGGAACTGACAATTTTTTTAAAAAATATTTAGCTTAATATATATATATATGTGTGTGTGTGTTTAAACTCAATTCCAATTTCATTTAGGATCAAGGTCTTAAATGATGCTTTTGAAATTTGATATCAGATGTCTCATAAATATGTAAAATTTGTAAAGTATGTGGTGACCAAACATTGGTATATTGATTGACAAAGTTAAATGCTGAGTTTTATGTACCCAAAAATAATTGAGTTTTATGGCTCATAAAGAATATCCTATGCAAAATCAAATCAAAAGATTTCATACTTGAGTTAGTTTTAGTTTCAGAACACACCTAAAAAGGTAGAATTACACCAAATACCGGTTGCATCTACCTGTACTTCTGTACTTAGGATTCAATTATTTAGTAGTCTATAGCCGTATTTATTGCCATGATGATTATCAAAGCGGATTCTCTCTTTCTGTTTTGAAGGTGATCAAACCATTTATTCCCCCACTCTTCTGACTTTCTCATGTTACATACTAAAATTTTCGTAATGTAAAATGTCATGGTTGGAAAGAAACAGGATACATGGTTTTTTTGCCCATTTTTTCTTTTATTAATCTTTATTTCCTTTTCATCACTTCAGTACAAACAGCTCAACTGCTTGACAAGTTGTGCTGATATTCAAGCGAATCCATATTTAATTGACAAGAAAACAGTTCTCTTTCTTTCTTCTCTGTCATTAAAATGTATGCTCATATCCAATATTTGTATTACCATGACATAATTGAGAGATGCTTCTAGAATTTGGTGCGAGTCTTAACTTCAGGCACGCATCTATAAAGCCTGTCAAGATTCAAGGTTGGTTTCTACTGGAGTAACAAGTGTGAGTGAAAAAGTCTTATATTAAATGAGAATAAATAAGTGAAGTAGGGCAAGACATTAGTGAAAATAATTTTTGCACTTAATGCCTAAGGTATTAGGTTGAATGTGCTGTCTAGTTCAACTATATGGTTTATTCTTGACCTGTTCATGAAGATCTCCCCATAAGCAACTTGTCAAAATATAAAAAATTGTGTCATGGCTACTTAAATGTATCATACAACAGTATCCGCGGACACATAAGATATTCTTAAATGGAAATAGGTAGGTAGACACACCTAAGAAAAAAAAAGGCATATTTGAATCAACTTAAATCAACTCTTTCGGACTCTAATATAGTGTATTACAAGAAATATAAGAGATACAAGCAAGGTTGATCCTCCAAGAAACAAAGGAGGACAAGGCTTCCATGGTTTTTTGGGACCACGCTTCTTCACTGGTGGTGTTTCCTCTTCAGTCTTATCTGCAACCTTTTCTACTAAACTTTGCTCTGGTTCTGGTGTAACACTATTATCAACAACCTTTTCTTCTGCTATACTTGACTCTGCTTCTTCCTTCACTTCCTCAATGCCAAACCCTCCTTTTCCCATTTCCCCTTTTGGCATCACAATTGTCAAAAGTGCATCCTCTTCATTATACTTAGCCTTGATCCGATCCAAAACCACCCCATCAGGGATTTTAAACTTCTTGGCAAACCCTTTGATTTTAAGCTCTTTCTTGAACTGTATCATTTGCATTTCTTGCACCTCCTTCTCCCCACTCACTGAAATCTGAGTACCATCTTTACTTATAGTTATGTCAATGTTTTCTTTCTTATATCCTACATTTACACACTAACATAGCATTAGCATAGAAAAGCAAGAAGAAAACAAAGAATGAATTTTAAAAAACCTTTAAGATGTGCAGTGAGCTTGAAGGTTGCATCAGTTTCTGTTGACAAGAAGACAGGTCCTGTTTTGTCTTTGGCAAATTGAAAATCAGAAACAGAAGTGATGTCATCTCTGGTTCTTGTGATCTTGAGTCCCAACTCAACCTCCATGATCTTTAATTTTTCCTGAAAATAACGATGATTTTTTTGGAGTATCACAGTACAGTTTTGTGGTTCTAACTTCCAAGAACAAAACTGTGCAAGTAAAGCACATATTCATTTCTTCGTTAGAGAGTCCTATGTATATGGGCAAAGCGGTTATACTATAGCGTTGGTCTGTGGCTTTGCTGTTACTGTTTCTCATTTTTAAGTGACTTTGGGGGAATCTATTGTTTTTAGACACCAAAGTGAAACATCAAAGGCGTAGAAAACATTGCTGTCATAAAACTTTATTTTACTATACAGTGGTACAATTTTATAAAATTTTATTTCTTAAGTGGTTGAGAATCTGTGTTATTCGTGCCTTAATTGCTCGAGTTTAGACAACTTCTAAGGATCTAAATACATCAGACTATGATTGAAAATGCCCTTCAATTTGTTCAACGATATGAAATCATTTATCAATTCACCGACTAACTCTTGTGTTGTGCAGATGGATGCAGCTTTATCAGAGGAATTTATTCCATCATCTGCAAAGTAAACCTTGTTACTCTTTCCTTCAGTGCATTAATTTCTTTTGAGGTAATTCTATTTGAGACATTATCAAGTACTGTGTGAGGGCCTCGGTTATCAAGAATTTGAAATGTGATTCACTACTTCATGAGATAATAATTTCTCAGCAACTTTTTTGTCTATTCAATCTGAAAGCAATAACATACTTTGGCTTTATTTTCTAATTTTACGAATAATTAGACAAATAACACGTGATTTTTCCAATTATATATAAAACCAAAAAAAAAATTCAAAGCCAAACAGTCATATTCGTCAATAATTCAAATTACCAAATACATGTACATGCTGGATTTCTTATACTTGTTTTGGGCCCAGAAAAATATAAAGGTATGCATTTTGGGCCCCTAAAAATATTGGACGGTTGACCAAAAAAATTATGTATAATGGACTGCTGATGCCTAAGATTTGCATTTTATTGACTACAAAACAAAGCAATACAAATGTTAACCCAAAAAAAAAAAGTAAAGCAACGCAAATCATTTAGCTCAACTTTTGGTCCCAAAAGTATCAATTCGATTGGGTTTGTTTCAGGGGTTGATTATACAATTTCAGAAACCGAAATGGGCTTTTTACCCCGTCCCCCCAAAAAAATTAATTTAATAAACAAATCTTTAAAATAATATTCTTCCCAAACTATATTCCTTGATTTCTTTTTCAATGTCAGCAAGGAAACACTTATATATATATATATATATATGACATTGTTTTTCTTTTATCATTTTAGTATCTCACATGCAAGCGAAACATGTTTAAAAAATAATAATAAATATTATATGTGAAGGTTATATTTATTAAAGATAGTTTGTAATTTATTTACAAATTTGTAGTTTAGTTAATAAATTTATAGAACTGTTTGGTAAATATAAAATAAAGGAACTTATAACTTTTGAAAGCTGGGTTTTCAAAATAGTTATCTAAAGTAGTATTTAACTTTTAAAAATTAACACTAATGTTTCTATTACAATTTTATTATTTATTTAAAAATAAAGACAATTTATCATTATACAACTATCACCTAACAAACATACAACAGTATTATTGTTCGCTTCACATTTACAACCGTTTCATTTATGTTTTTTTTTCCTTTCTTATATCTTTTTATCTATATGTATTTTATATTAAAAATATATATAGCTGAAACTATTTCACGTTTAAATATATAAAGAGAAATTTTATTTTTTATATAATTAATTAATTATAAATAAATAAAATAAGTAAAAAAATAATACTAATATTAATATAATATGTCATTTAAAGTTATTTAACATAAATTGGTTAGTTATACCACTTGTTTGTGAAACAATTTTAATTCAATAAATTAAGTTAAAAACTTTTAGTTACAAATTTATTACTTTCAATTAATGTTACAACTAAAAGTTAAAAGCTTTAAACTTTTGGCTTATTTTACCGAACATAATCTAAGTGATAAATATCACAAGTTGAGAAGTATCGTCCATGCGGTAAGCAAAATTTGTTTTTAAAAAAAGTTAAGTATCGTGGGATAATAGCCAATAATATAAGAAAAATTACTAAAAGACAAAGAATTAGTTTAAAAGAAATATTATTTTAGGAATTTATTTTTAAAATTAATGAGGTTGATTTTGTACTATGTGGAATAACAGTTGCAATGGGGTTGGTTGTTGTCCCTTATAATGATTAATTAATAGTTTGATATTAGTTGAATCAATGAAATGAACTGTGATATAGCGTGTTTTTGAAGTCTCAATGCACCTTTTTAGTCTCAAACTCACAAGCTTCCCCGACACATGGGAAGATATCTTTAGTAGAAAGCATGGCCATTAGTCCCCATCAGTGGGTAAGATGGATCATTTATCCTCTCCACTAACATCAAAGGGTCTCTTTCTCTTTTATTTTTAAGGTTCATATAATGCTTTCAACTTTCACTAATATCCAGGTTGCCCCCACACTTTGTTCATTATGCCACACATGTCACCACTTCCTGCATATGTACCACTCATTCCCAATTACTTCCCCATCGCTTTCCTGTGAACAAATCATGCAATCGATCCATAAAGCTATGTTTCATCAAATTTCAAATTTCAGAATTCAAAATTTCAATGTTTGCACTCAACTTTTGAATTATAAATAAATACTAAATTTTTAATCTTTCAAGATTTTTTCACTTTAAACGTTTACAATATATTGAAGAACTATTCGTGATTAATACAATAAATGCTTATGCCAAGGAGTTATTTTATTTAATGAACAATGACTCGTCGGTTGATGATACTATCCTCAGTGTCAAATGTTTTCTGCGCTTTTTAATTTAATTTCAATTTTTCAAAAGTAATTTCAATCTTATAATGTGAAATCAACGGTACTAAATCAGTTTTCGTAGGTCATATTGTTCCTGCATGAAGCATCGGTAGCTTGTAGTTATTACACTTGTAGTTGGATTGATTATACTGAGCTTGATCCAACCAGTGGCACGTCTAAGAACTTAGATTAATTAATCATAAAAATTTTACTTTCATTTCACTAAAAATGAAGACCGTTTCTTACTTCTGATTTTTTAAACACTAGTCTGGTTTCCTGTGTGGAAAAACTAATCATAAACTTTCAGAAGTTAAGATGAAATACTCATATTAAATATTTTTTATAATTTATATATTAATATCTTTTTGTACAATATTTACTCATATACAACATATATTTTAATTGTTTTTATTTATGTTTGATACAACTATTAACTTTAACATTAGTATACTTGTTTATGTAATTTAATAAAAATAAAATTCATTTAAAATTTTTGCCTTCATGGTTTAAGAAGGGTGCTTTATTCCAAAATCAAGACAAGAGGCTTTTAACACAGAAAAAAAAAAGTAAATCAGAATATCCATTGATAAAAGTTTAAGAAGAGAGATGTTTGTATTCCAAAATTAAGATGTTTTTTTTTATAAGTACTGTATGGAGTAAAATTTCATTTTAAGTAAATTAATGAAGTTTAACTATATTATTTATATTATTTAAATATATGAAGTTTAACTAATTATAAAACTTTATTAGTCTATAAAAAATAAATTTGTTCATTTATTTATATTATTTAAATAAATTCAATCAGTCATATAAATAAATTTAACCAGATAACTTAAACCATTTTTAATGATAGTTATTTGAGTAAATAAAATAGTAAAAAGTAGGAAGGAGGAGGGAAATGGTGTAGGGGAGGAGAAATTAAAGGAAAAATTCAAAAGAAGAGGGAAGGAATAGAGAGGACACTTGAAATAGTGGAGGAAGAAGAAAGAACGAAAAATAATAAAATATTTTATATAATTTTAAAATTTGTTATGCTTTGAAATATTATACATTTTTGTATATATTTAATTAAAAAAATAGAAAAAATTAAATTAAAAAATTATAATTGTGGAACAATTTGTGAGGTTTATTCAATATATTTTAAAAATTGACATAAAAACACATTTGAAACTTGGGTGGAGTTGCACGTCAATGATGCTCCTACGACAACGATATTTGAAGAAAACGAACCAATGAATGTTCAACAAAAATCAAATTATTACTTTTTCAACACTATTCGATCAACCCTCACCTGTGAACCCACCCCAGTTGCCCCCTCTCTTCCACTTTTAGTTACTGCCTCTGTGAACATACTGTTCATATTTCCATTTGAGTTTTGCGTATACGTCACTGATTTTTTATTTTACTTCCTATTAATAACATTATAACTTTAAGACAAATTCTCGCATTAACAATATTCATATTAAGATAATGCGTTTGATTTTTTTTTCTTTTTCATCATTACATAACTCATTACATTTATGATTTTTTTTTAATCTTTTCTTCTTATCTCTTAATTTCTTTTCATAGTGTACACTCTCTAGCTATGAGAAACGCTTGGTTGATAAGATAAAGTTATCTCAAATTAATTATTTTACGACATATTATTTGTACTTATAATAGTTAACACAGTACATATACATAGATGAAGCAACGTACATCAAGGAAACACTCCCCCAAAGTCCAAACCATACTGAAAGTGAACTGAAAGATGGTTAACTTAAAGATAGACACACACACAAGCCAAAGGCATAAAACAAGGTAGAATGAATATCTTTATTATGCAAATATAGATATGTTCAGCCAAACAGATGGTGGTGCTTCTTTCCATGAGCTTCTTCATCTTGTTCCTTTGCTTCCTTTTTCTCATGATGCTCATGAAAGGCGAAGCCACCAGATCCCACTGCAGCTGCAGCTGCAACCTCCTCTTCTATCTTGTGCCTGTGAGCGTTCTCTGGGTCTTTCTCTGCCTTGTGCTTCTCATGCTACCAAAACCAATCACCAAATATTCATGTCAATTAATGTATATATGGGAATGAATTCTCTCTCACACTTGATTGATTACACTGAAATGGATTTAAAATCTTTTATATCGTTGAGTAATAATATATACCGATCATATTAAAAAATAATTATTTTAAATTTAATTAATAGATCTTGTAATTAATTATAATGATTTTTTATTTAATAATTTTTTTTTAATTATATTGCGTTACTTAGCACTATGAGAGGATATATTTTTATAAAAATTCTCTGTCTAATTCGGCATATACATTATAAAAGATACAAACATGAGATTTCAAGATTATGGTTTTAGTTTTTCATCACGCGGGCCTGTATTTAACAAAAACTGAGAGATAAAGTTAAGAAGCTACTGAAAAATGTTTTGTCCATGCAAAACATTAATTGACAGTCTTTTTCGCTTTAACTTTGTGGAAATATTTAATTAAAGAAAAAATAGGAAAGAATATTAGTAAAGAAAATTACCAAGGCATAAGCACCAGCAGCTGCAGCACCTAACTCACCCAAGTGCTCAAGATGCTTGTGATGCTTCTCCTCCTTTTTATAGTCAACCTCTTCACGTCTATCATCGTCATAACCACCACCACCGGCACCAGCGGCATAGCCACCACTAGTTTTGGCGTAGCCACCACCGGTGGTGTCAGAATATCCACCACCAGCACCATAGCCACCAGAAGGCTCATCAGTGGAATAAGCTGCCTTGTTGTAGCCAGAGTCATAGCCACCACCAGAAGACTCATTTGATGTTTTGTTGTAACCAGTTTCATAGTCACCACCACCAGAAGACTCATATGATGATTTGTTGTAACCAGAATCATAACCACCAGCACCACCACCAGAAGATTCATATGATGATTTGTTGTAACCAGAGTCATAGCCACCAGAAGGTTGATCAGTAGAGTATGATGATGTCTTGTAACCAGTCTCAGTTTGTGTAGGCTCATCGTCATCCTTGTGGTGGTGGAAGAAGCCATGGTGTTTTTTCTCTTCAGCCATGGTGGTTGTAAAGGATATTAATTTGATGGATGAATCAAGTAAGATAGAAAAGCGATAATTGAAGTAATGGGTTTTGGGTAGTGATACTAAGGAAGGACACTGCTTAGCTATTTATAAAGTGATGATCATGTTAGACATACTTCCTGCTTTTTGGGTTGCCCTTAAATGATCATCTGCAAGATTTCAAAATCTACGTCCTCACATGCTTTATCATTTTTTTTCTACCGTGCATTTAATTGTGTTTAACTTTAATTTGGACCATCACCACACTGTATGCATATAAGCAAACCAAAATTAATAGAATGTTTTTATTATTTTTAATTCTAAAATGTTTTCATAACTTTAAATAATAAAATTGTTATTAGAAATAACTTTAAGGACTCTTCTCCATATTTTTTTTTGTATTTTGCTTTATATACACACGTGTATAATATCCACAAATTTTAGACGTCAAGTAGATTGCAAAAAAATATTTATTAACACTTTGTTGTTAGGTTTGATTTCGTTATTATAAACATTATCTAAAAAAATAAACTCTTGATTGTTTCGAACTTAAGTTAATAATATGATACATTGTATATTTATATTAATAAATAATTTTATCAGTAATATATATATATATATATAGTTTTTGTATCTTTATATTTTTTCACTTTAATTTCATATATTTGTTTGCTTTTTTATTTTATTTTTTTATCTTTCTCATTGATGTGACTTTATAAAAAATTAATATATAATACCAAAAGAATGATATGTAACAATCTCATAGTTTACTATGTAAAAGTTGGTAAGGACTAAAAAGTGTTAACTTTTAAAAATACATATTAAAGCTAAATAAATAAATAACCAATAAGTATATAAAAATACGAAGAATAAAGTCATATTTAATGTCAAATAACAGCTGTTACTAATTTATTTTAAATTTTGTGGGAAGTAGTGTTATCAGTTGAAAATAGTATCAATATCTTCCAGAGGGAGAAGGGAAGACATTTCCACCCAAAAGAGGATCGTCATTGTCATTTTCAATACACTGTCCTTTGCTCTTATTATTATTATTATTATTATTATTATTATTATTATTATTATTATTTTGTTTTAAACGAAAAGCAAATAGCACAAGGCAATTTTGGACCTACTTAATTGAAATTTAAAAAAAAAAAAAGATAATTGTTTTCCTCTGGAAATAACGACGCTAAAGGGAGAGTAGGATAAAACTAACATGGAAAAAAAAATCTTCGGTAACGTATAATTTTAAGTTTGATTTTAAAATTTTTATCTATGGAAAAATACTAGTAATAATTTAATTTTATTATATTTTTATTGAATTTTTGTTAAAATCTATCAATTTCTTGTTATCAATACTTCTTAAACACCCATTAATATTATTTATAAAAAAATAAAAAAAGACAAGACATATTAATAACTAAGTTGAAAATAATGCCAAAAAAAAAGAAAAAAGAAAGACAACAGAAGTGGATAATGATAATAATATGGACGGTGATTGGGGGACCCAAATTGAATGGCCGTTGCCAGTTGAACAGTTCGTTAGTGTCGGCATGAAAGGATATTCCATTTCCAGAGTTTAAAAATATTCCCATTTCAATTAAATTCTAAAATTCTTCTTTTTGCGAATACAAATATGTCACCTATGATATGTATGAAGAAGAAGTAAGGGTTGTCCAGGGGCAATAATTTATCTTTTTTCATAAAAATAAATTACGATTAAATGGAAAAAAAAGGCTTAATTATATGTAAATTTAATATTAACAAACAAAATTTCAAAAAAAAAAAGTATATCAAACAGTGGTTGGAATTTGTACATAAAAAACAGTTTATAAAACGAATCACAACTGTCAAATTAATCGAACGGCTCTTCAAGGATGTGACATCGATCCATCCATTTTTACGACCATTTCATTTGCATTAAGAGACTTGAGAATTTGATAAGAATTTAATTTGGTCACAAACAATAGTTTATAAAATGATAGGTTGCAATTTGCACACAAACGATAGATTTATGTAAATTTGATTTCAAAGGAAGATGGGCTCAGGTGATTGGATCCATGTTAGGTGGCATTTCGAGGTTACGCGTATTTGTGATATTTGATTGCCAATAACGACAGTTTAATTAACTGATTGGCTTTGGCTTTGGTAGCATTATGGCTGTGGCTAAAGTCGAGCCACGTCGTGCCACCACATATATCCATCAATTAACTATTCAAATGATAATTACCCCTTCTTTTCTTTAATTTTATCTTATTTAACAAATAAAATGCATATTTTATAGTAAGTATATCAAAACTGGTAAATTTAAAAATACATATATAATATATTGTAACTTATTTTTTCAATAATTATTTTAATTTAATAATATCCATATAATATAAAAAAATCTGAAATAAAGATTATGGCTGTCAGTTTATTTCCAATCTTCCACACAGTGCAAAGAATCGGTTTTTACAGCAACTAACATAATATTACGTTAAAATAATGTGATTGGTATAAGTTTTTATTTATTTATGTGATTAATATAAATGGAGCATATTTTATGAGTATGGCTTAAAAAAACATAAAAATTATTAGGTTATATATGTTATATACAACTTTTATTTTTTAATTTTTAAAAAATATGTTATGTAAAATATATACAATTTATACATTTTATTGAATATACTGTATGTGTGTTTTAATTGAAGCTACACAATATACGGTGTCCAAAGGTTATACAATAAGATGATGAAAAAAAGAAGAATTCAGAAGAAAGTCCATTGGCTAGTTTAAAGTTAATTTATTTTAAATTTTAAAATTTAATTTATTAAATATATTTACGTTAGAGAGTAAAAAATAAAATATAAGATGATTTTATCTATATAAAAATATTTTTAAATAAAACAATATGTAATTGTAAAATTGAAATTTTTTTTCAAAATTATGATAAATGACATTTTTTAAAATTCTGATTATTTGTTTATAATATTATTCTTGAAAATTAATAGTAAAAAAAATGATATTATCATATATATAAATATATATTGGTTATAAGTTATTAATTTGAAGTTATAAATTTTGAATTTAATTTAATTAAATAATTAAAGTTTGATTAAATATTTAATAAGATAATACTTAAATTTCAAATTAATCACATTACTGACAAATATTTTTTTAAAAAGGAGTTTTATTCTAAAATATGAATTTAAATTTAAGCCACTAAAAATGAAAGTTATTATGGGAAAAATAGTAATGAGTGACGATAATGAACGCAATGCGCTGTGCCTATAACAAAGGGTGAGGAGTCAAACATCTTAATGCCACGTCTTACCAATGTTTGCTTTCAACGTCCACAGAATTCAAATCAAAAGAAAGGAGTTAATGAAAAATATATTTTATTCGCATAAAAATATACATTTCTTATTAAAACAAAAAATAAATAATTTAAAATACATAGTGGGCATGCAATTCTTTTTTTCTCATCTCCTTTGTTGTTAACTCGAAAACTTCGTAACGGTGAACTTTACACTACATGGGAGAAAATTTAATTTAAAAAAATGTGTATAGTTTTATTTAAAATAAGATTAAAATATTGCATTAAATATTAACTATTTAGTTATGAATGATATACAAAATATTAATCGTTAGTAATGTACATTAAAAAATTAAGGATTTTTTTAATTTATTAACATCCGTTCTCACAATTGATTTTAAATATTTTTAAATAGTATTTGTTATTGAATATTTTTAATACTATAAATATTTTTTATAAAATATTATCATCTCAATTACTTAAAATCAATCTTTAGAGTTTAATATTAATATTTTTTTAAAACCTCCAACAGGTAATGCGTATCTGACATGATCAAAACAGACGAGCCCCAATTTCCAAAGTCTAAGGACTATTTTTTTGTCAATGACAAAAGTTAAGCCCACACCCAATTAGGTAATGGAGGCCCATGATGAAGCGAAGCCCAGCCGATAATGCTCGTAGTAACTAGAAATACTGAAACCCTGTTCTGATACTTTTGAGGTTTTAGCCTAGGAGCCGTGTTCATCTGCCGAGAGCCGCATAAAGTTCTCTGAATCTCTGCATTCAACATGGTACTTATTTAGTTCTGCTGTTTCACTCTATTCCTTCTTTTTGCTCCATTATTCATACTTATATGTTGTTGGTGTTTGAAAGGTTTCAATTTTTCGTTTGAATGATCATAAAATGTCAACTTTATTAGAATCTGTGCCTTGTGATTTGAAATCAACAATTTTGAAAGTGACCCTTGTCTTGTTTATCTCACATATGGTTTAAAGATTTTATTTTATTTTTTTATAATTTTGGTGTTGTACAGTCTCTTGTGGCAAACGAGGATTTCCAGCACATACTTCGTGTTTTGAACACAAACGTAGATGGGAAGCAGAAGATAATGTTCGCTCTTACCTCAATCAAAGGTATTGGCAGGAGATTTGCTAACATTGTCTGCAAGAAGACTGATGTTGACATGAACAAAAGGTTTACTTTCAAATCCCCTTTTTTTTCACTTTGTTATTTATTTATTTATTTTGCTTACTATTACATAGGAATGCGATGGTTTATTTGATATTTGGGTTTTGATGTTTTGTATTGAAATGTGTTTCGGTTATTTTGTTGGCAGAGCTGGTGAACTTAGTGCTGCTGAGATAGACACTCTGATGACTGTGGTTAGCAACCCTCGGCAATTCAAGATCCCAGACTGGTTTTTGAACAGGAAGAAGGACTACAAGGATGGCAAGTATTCGCAGGTGGTGTCAAATGCGCTGGATATGAAGTTGAGGGATGACTTGGAGAGACTCAAGAAAATCAGGTAATTTTGGATTGTGGATTTCTTGGAAAAAAATGTTTAGCTAGTAATTTGAGATTGTTTTGTGCAAATCAACCTGTTTAATCTTACAATGGTTGTGTGTGATTCATGTTAACAATTTTTTGGATTGTGGATTTCTTACTGAATGTCTGTTCTTCCCCTCTACATATTTCTGAAGTTGTTCAGAGTTTTTGCATACACTTATGTTTGAACTATTTCTAAATGACAACAAAGAAATGCATATAAATAAAACAATACGATGTCCAGCTGTTCAACAAGCCTTTTATTTAATGGATACATGCACAATGTGACAATGCTAGTTTTTTTTTTTTTTTCTGTTTATTCATCGAATAGAAATGTCATATAAACTGCAAAGGTATCAAGTGTTGTGTATGAAATTGAAAACATAGAATTCTCTTCGGCATTTGATTTCAAAACTTAGCTTTAGTAAATTTATATTCATTTGCAGTAGTTTCTGCTTGAAAACATATTAATTAAAACTTGTATAGCTGAAAAGAAATTAAAAGTTGATGAAAGCTGTTGATATATGTTAGTTTGCTACTGTTGTGCCTCGGGCCTGATGTTAGATATACATAGCATGTGAATTTAATTCGTTTGCCTTTAGCACTCTTGTCTGGATGTCGGGGTGTTTGTTGTATCAAGTAGGGAAATGGAAAGAAAAGTGGAGAAATGATCACTCCCTTGTTTGGTATTATCTAATGAAGCAGAAGGGAGACTTTATTTTATTCATTTAGTTTCATAAAAACAATAGAAATATATATAAATAAATGTCCAATCACTTTATTATCTTTCTCTAACAAAATTGATTTACATAAGGGTCTGTTTTCAAGTCTAGTTTTGGAAAAGGAAGGGAGGACAATTTTTTTTTTCAAATTAAGAGTTATATAATGTTTGTAAAAACAAGCAAAAAATTATCAAATTCAAAACCTTAACTCACAATCATATCCGAAATGACTTATACTATTGTTAATGTAAGAAAAAAAATATGGGAGTCCGAAGAAGGGTTGCAAGTAGTGCAACATTTACAGTGTCTCATGGAAAATAATCCATCCCTTTACTTTTCCCTCCCTCCATGAATGTGATAATTTGCAGGGAAAGTGAACATAACAAGTTTTTGACAATATTATAGCCTTTTCTTTTCTTGGTGGATCAAAGCAGCTATTTATGGCCAACAGAATTTTGGTTTGTGAAACATAGTATTCCATGCTAACATATATAGTTACCCGCAGGAACCATCGAGGTTTGAGACACTATTGGGGCCTTCGCGTACGTGGCCAGCATACCAAGACCACTGGTCGTCGGGGTAAAACTGTTGGTGTTTCTAAGAAGCGCTGAGCTCTCACTTCCGCTTTGTTCTCTACTGTTTTTGAAGAATGAGATATAGTTTTATTTTCAGAATGCTTTGGATTTTGTTGCATTTTAACGTTATTTGTGGTTGGGTTTGTTAGTTTGATTTTTCAACTTACGAATCTTATGTCTTTTTGGTCCAATTTGTGGTTAGAGGCCATGTTGATTTCCATTAAATATGCCCAAGTCTCGAGCAACCTAAAGCTATCTTAGAAAAAGTATTGAGTTTGATTGAAATAATTATTGAGATGTGCATTACCATTGTAAGCACAATGAATAAAAGGTATAAGATATATAAAATATTAATGAATAAGACAATTATGTCTTGGTTGAAGTTGTTTAAATACTGGTATAGTTTTCAATTGAATTGTTATTTAATAAACGCAACATGTTTTTCAACAACAAAAGAATTATTACGTACAATTAATGTCTTTTTTTTTTCTGGAGTTTGTGTATTAGGGCCTATTTGAGAAGTATTTTATTTGTGGTGGTTTTTGAAATTTTTATTTTGTAAAATGATATTTAAAAACTTAAATAGGAAGAAAACAATTTGTTTGAGAAGCACTATGTCTCCATAGCGTTTCTCTACGGCTATCTTTGCAATTGGTTGCCAAACTGAAGGATGATCTTGCATCAATTTATTCTGATGTGCTCTGACACAGTTGTTTGAGCCACTAGATCTCCATTATAACTGTTCCATTTGCAGAATGGTTCCTCGCAATCCAGGTTTCTAATCTGCCATGGTACGAATCGTCTTCCTACCAATTGAGACGTTGCCTCTGTTGTCAATGTAGGGTATCATTCTCATCACAGTGATGCCTTTTTGTGTGATGTCGATGACTGAGCTCTCAACACGATATAACATGGGTGAGAGGTAACGTAGTTAAACATAGGCCACTGCCAAATGGCCAAAAAGTAACACAATGTTTTCAAAAACTATTACCGGAAAGCCATATCAAATGAAGTTCTATTGTTTTACTTAAAAAAAAAAAACCTCGAAACAGGCAATAGTCAATTGATTGCAAACGTTGTTTAGCTTGACTGTTATTTCTGTCGGCACCCAAATCCTGGAAGGTTCGTGTGTTGCACATGCCTCTAACCATGCACCACACAAACAACGACTAGTAACCAAAAAAGTGCTCATGTTAGGGACTGCATCAATTATAGGCTGAATCACGTTTGCTGTGCAGGGGTCATTCAATCTGACTTCACGTAACACGTTTTCCCCATGCAATTCAATCAGTTCTTAGCGTTGACCAAAAAGAAAAAAATGAAAACCAGTTCTTAGCAAACAATAAACCAACTTTATTCTCCACACACTGGCAACTGTTTCTAAACCGCAAAAGTGAAAGTAACATATAGAAAAAGAGGACGGAGTCTGAAGAGACAAGAATTAATGTATAAAGGAACTCAGAAAACAAAACCAGGTTTACTGGTGAAGTTTTTCAAAAAATGCCACTGCTACTTAAACAATAAATATTTCAGGGCAGAATCTAAGCATTTTGAGATAAAGTGATCACTACCTTAAAAAAAGTCTAAATGAAGTTGAAACAACAGGGTGATCCTCTAATCATATCATGTATGTGAACAAACATTCCAGTAGACAAGCATCTCCATGTCTTCATTATAATAGCTGAAAACAGAAAAAAAAAAAAAAAAAAAAGAAGAAGGTCAAAACAATAAGGAATTTAGCAGACAGGGATTGTTCGAGAGATAAACAGGCCACTTAAAGATGTTCTTATGCATCTTTAATACAGTGGCGCTTAATTAACAAGGTAACAATAAGACTTACTAGGGTTATTGCTTAACTTTGAGACCGGTTTCTATGCGTTCAATGAGCTGATCTGCAGTCAGTGCTCCCTCCTGATAACCGTTAAGAATATGGAGATAACAATTGTCAAGATAGCAGTCAAAATCATTGTCTTGTTTTGTCAAATAAACAAACATCACTAATAACAGATTCTGCTCAGAGAATCTGTTCATTTAAGATAAAGCTAATGAATTTTGACAATATATTATTCATTCCAAATGAGTGGAAAAAGATTTAACATGAGTGCCAATTTACAAGAACATAGAAGAAAAGGCAGCAAACAGCCAAACACCAGACCATTTCAACCTTTATATACCTTCACTTATTCAAACAAGACGATGGAGAAAGTATTTGAATTATCAAATGACAGCAACCTATGCTATGATATAGGTTGCAGACAACAGTCTCTATCAATCTTAAACATCCTTGAACTGATGCATCGATTAGGTTCTTTATATTATAATCAAAGCAACCTCATTTTCAATTTCATTATGCCAAAGTCAACAAGCCTAAGTGAACATTAAAGCAGTTCCATTACAAGATGCCAAAATGATTTCTACTTGTTTCCTGAGTTGGCTTAGCAATACATGGTTTTCGAGCTTTACATCACAACTTCAAATTTTGAACAAAATTGAAGAAGACTCTAGCCTGGCTAGTTGAACAATTAACATATCTCAGAACATTGTCACAGACCCGAATTTAAATGCCAAATCCTACGTTTTTAAGCAAAAAAAAAGTGTACGTTAGGACTTAGGAGTCCATTGCACGAACAAAAGATGGAGCTTCTATACATTATAACTTGCTGAGACACAATTAACCACCAGATGCAAGGAAGTCAAAATTCAGATGAAAGAAAATACATCTAACTTACAAAGCGATCATAGGGTTTTCCATCCTTAAACATGATGAAAGTTGGCAACGCTTCAATTCTGTATTTGTCAGCAATGCTAGGGTACTTCTCAGTATCAATCTTCACCACCTGTATCTTATCTTTTAGACGAGTGCTCACCTCATTCAGTATGGGAACCATGAATTGACAAGGACCACACCTGTAAACAAAGCCTTGGGTTACTCATTTGATGTTAATGTTATGACATAAATAGTTGATAAAAATCAGTTTTAACCTGAAATATTATCAGCTAACACAAACTGGTATAAACCCAACACAAACACAGAGGAAAATTACCAGGTCGCATAGAAGTCAACCAATACAGGCTTTTCGGAATTGGCAAGCAAATCTTCAAAGGAGGAAAAGGTTTGTTTCTTTGCTTGAACCTACACACAAAAAAAAAAAAAAAAAAAAAAACAAGAAAAAAACCAAAATGCTTGTGAGTTTTTAATAAAAATTGAAACTCATGCAAGGCAAACCTATTGCAGAAGCACAGAAGTACATTTCAACAAGCAAACACTCAAATTAGCCCTCAATTGAAATTATGTTTAAGCCTTTAAGGTCCTCCAATCTGCACTTCTTCATTCAAATTAGTCCTCATGTCACAAATTTGAGGATTAATTTGACAGATGAAATATACATTCCGCAACGAATTTTCACGATTAAATACATATTTTAGACGGCAAATATAATTTCCGTAGTCGAGAGACTAACAAAACGGTGAAGGTATTTTTTCAAGAACTAATTTGACTATTTACACAGTTTTAACGTGCGTGAGTGTAAGCAAGGATAGAAATGGCTCATCATAATCAACATCACAGTTTAACAACAACAATCGCACGATGTTCCTTAAATTGAGTAAACTCTGACGAAGTTCGCGTACAACGAAAGCTCTAACTTAATTAAATAATTGCTAAGGGAAAAGAAAGCAGGAATAGAGGTTATGGTTACCAGAGGAAGGAATCGAGGGCGCGAGGAAGCGGGAGCGCGTGCGGTCCCAACGCGAAGAAAGCGAGTGCGGAGCGGAAATTGCAGGGAGGAAAGGTTGGCGTAAGAAGATGCGGACGTGGATGAGGGTCCCAATCCCAAACGCGTGGAGCGTTCGGAGTTCAAAGAAGGAATGTTGGAGGCTGAAACGGAGACCGACATGGGAACGATACGAAGGAAGAGGGAATGTAGATTGGGGTGTGTTCGGATAGTCAGAAAATGATACGAATCCTAAATATCTGTTTGGATTTGGAATCGAGCGACACAGAGAAGGAAAATATCTGAAGCAGAGTAAGGAAGGAATACGGAGCTACCAACGGACTTTCCAACCTCCTCGCCTTTTATAAAGTCATTTGCCTTCTGTTCGCTTTGGGTATGGTTATTACAAGCAGGATCACATACATTGCCCCAATTCGTTTTACCCTTTTTATTATTATTATTATTAATTCATGTATTAGTATTATTTTTATTTATTTTTAAATAAATTCATATAAGAGATTCTTGTCAGAGGCGGAGAAAAAATTTTGATTAAAGAGAGATTAAGATTGAAAACACATATATCCCAGTACACAAAAAAAAATAAATCAACTGTTATATACATAATGAATTTGATATACAACTAAGGTGTTTTTAAAAAAGGCTTATATACTAGTTAAATAAAATAAAATAAAAAGACAACAAATTAGCTGATTAAAAAACATGAACGCAAAAAAAAAAAAAAGATTAAATATGTTTGTATTTTCTCATTTTAAAAACTAAAATTATATATAATTTTAGTTTTTAAAAAAAGAAAACTCTTTTTAAAAATACAAACAAACATACTCTTAATTTTTAAAAAAGATTTTTTTTCTCGCCTCCATTTTCTTTCCTTAAGCCAAACAAAGCGTGAAGACAAGTAAACTGGGACTCGTTTTGCACATTGGCAAGCACAAGTTTTTGATTATTTTTATGGGTACAATTCATCCATACAAAATAACTTACATGTCTAATGGTACAAAACGAGGACGATGATCAACAACAATTGTAATTCTTTACAAAATCTCACTTCTGGGCATTTGTGGTGTAGCCTCACTACGTGATGTACATAATTGCTGTTGAAACAAGACTCCAAAACTAACACCAGAATACGTGTAAAATGCGTACAATAACTTCAAAACCATGCGTGGCATTGTATAAAAATGGGGTCGGAGATCATCCATCACTGGTCAATATGAAAGCCAGAACAACGATGGTGAGTGCAAAGACAATGGTGGCACAACGAAACAACCGTGCATATTTAATTGTAGTATGATTCTTGTTCTCTTCACTGCTTAATTCAATCTGTTTGAGAAGCTCCCTTACTTCATCAATGTCCGAGTCTTTTGAAGCCTGGATTAGTCTGCTTTGAATCTTCTCAAGCTTAGTTAATCTCCCATCACTAGATGTGGCTTCTTGTGACCAGATAAAACCAGTCATCTTCCACAAGAGAATCCCCACATAGATGGCTACAATGCAGTCTACAGTGTAATGATGGCGCTCTCGTATTTCTCTTTGGGCGCTATGCATTACTAGAAGCCATACAAGAGCTGAACTGAAACCCCCATAAGCTTCCTGCAATCATTATTAAGATAGAGAGGTCAAAAATTTAACTCCTACTTCAAAATCCAATGCAAACAGTCACAAGATGATAGGACAGTGCAATCTTGCAATGAATTTCAAATCTTACTGTCCAAGCCATGGCTGTGAGTACGGCAACAAGCATGTGGCCACTGTATAGGAGGTCATTGCAGCCACCTCCAGCTTTCTTTAACAGACTGTACCATGAAGGCCCTTCGGAGGCAGTGGGTCGCAAAAAATCAATCAGAAAGCTCATCGAACCCCAATCTGGCTGGTAGTCACCAATTGGTTTTCCAATGTCAACTACGAAAAAAGAGTATGTTAATTTACAGGCCAGCTTTGAGAATAATAACCTTGAACATTGAATAATAAAATCTAAAATTCATATAACCACAAAGCATGTCAGGTTCAGATTTCTTCATAAAATTGCACCAGAGAAACCCCACCCCAAGTGGCTGCAAATGATTTCAGTGCCCAAAACACTAAATTGTTCAGCTTTAATTCAAAGTTACTATTTTTGTCCGATAAAGTTTATGAAAAATAAATAACTTAATTGGAATACACTGATAGTGAAATAGTTTTTTACATTGTCATTTAATCATAAATTTCTATATAATTAAAAATTACAGACTTTTGTAATAATTACTTTAAAAGTTATATGTGAGCTAATTTCTAATTAGTTACAGTGAATCAAAATTAGACTATACAAAACCAGAGGATCTTTTAATGGGCATGACAAGTCTTAAAAATTTGTTGAAGGGCCAAAACATAAGCACCCCCGGATTAAACCATTACAAGTTAAAAACAGCTCGTAGAACGTAGTAAATAAAGCAGTTACTAGAACCCAGTGGAATAATATTGTGCATACCATAAGCCTTATCTAGCTTTATCAACCGATTGATAGCATCGTGATCTGAAGCATAGGGAACATAATATTTCTGAGCCCAACGATGAGGATATCCCGGAACTCTGAACCGAGAACTAGCACACCAAGGCCGGGCAGATGGCAGAATTGTAGAAGCAAAAGTTATGGCACGAAGGAGGCGCCCAACAGCCATTGTAAACATGTACCTAGCACCAAGTCCGAGGCCCGGAGCTTTTACAGAGTTAAATAGGACAGAAAACGCCAGCATCATAAACAACATCAAGAAATGGTGCAATCCAATGATTCGAGCTCTTAATATCTCAACAATCGGACTTGGAAGTTTCTCATTTAATGCCAGCAGCAACCATTGACCCGTGTCAGGAAGAGGAGCTGTATCTCTGTCCAAACAAAACAAGTTAATAAGTTTTCATTTTTCAAATAGAAATTACAACAGGTTGTAGTTAGATTTTATGTCAAATAACGCCAAAAGCAAACCATACTTATAGTAACGTATATCATCGGATAGTAATTATACACTAGTTAAATCGTGTGCAATCATTGGCATTGGTCATTTTAGTTTGAAAATCACAGTATTAAAAATTAGGTTGTCAAGGTAATTCTCCATTAACATAAATATGATAATTCTTATTTTAAGCAAATAGATATTTCAGGAAGCATTCAAAGACTATCATCAAATCTAACAAACCGAGATCTGGAACTTCAAGAAGTCCTCATCAAGACAAATATTAGTTCAGAGAAATGAATTACTAACAGAATCTAAAAGTTCAGATCTCCTTTCAACAAAGGAATACTTCGTTCAATAACTCGTGATGAATCATGATCAATATACATTTAAAACCTACATTTCAAACAAGATCCAGTTCCCAAAGACTAGTCATGATAAATATAGAACTGCAGGAAGAGAAACAATGTCGATCCACGCAACACTATGAAGAGAACAGCAGCAGAAGAAGAAGACAGTTACCGGTGCCAGTCGAGGCCGAGGACGGCGGTGACAGAGCGAACGGAGAGGGCTTCGAAGAGTAAAGTAGAGAGCATAAAGAGCATGGATGCGACGAAAGGAACCGCCGCACGGAACTCGGCGGTCCAGTGGCGGTAGGAGGGAACGCGGGTCACGGCGGCGAGTGCGAGGAGGGACCACAGCGCTGGTTGCAGCCGCGAGTGCCACGCCGGAGACAAGTGGCGGAGGTAGTCGACGGCCACGTAGGACATGGCTGCTACGCCCAGGCCGGCGTTCTTCGGGGGCGGCGCCGGCAACCGCATGGGGTGGGAGTGAGGGAATGTGGAAGTGAGTTTGAAGTGAAGGTGGAATGGGCAGTTGCTGCAATTTAGGGGAAGTTGGTGTTTATGCCCGGGACCCACTTTGTTATTTATTATATCTTCACAGTTTTAACTACATTCAACTCATAAATTATTGTTGATATATAAGATTTATTTTTTAAAATTATCTAAAGTAATTGTTAATTTATTATGATGAATTAAATGCTTATTAATGATGCATCTAGAACATTTGTTAATAAGATTGTTTTAATTGAAAGGAAAAAAAAATCTGTATTTGTTTGAAAAGTTAAGGTAAAAACGTTTTGAAATGGAATTATAAAAAAAATAAAATTATAATAAGCATAATAGATCTTAATTTTTTTTAAAAAGATAAAATTATTTTGAAATTGGGATAAAAATTAATTTAACTCTATTTTAACCAAACATATTTTATTTTAAAGTTTAAATTAAAAATAAATAAAACTTATAACTGCTCCAAACAAATTTTAAAACTACTTTTTTTTGTTTTAAAGTGAGGTAAAAATATTTTAATTTGACTTAAAAAATCAATTAATTTTATTTTAATTAAAGTATTTGAAAATTAAATAGCGGTAACCAAAAGTGTTAGAGTATGGACAAGATAAACAGAAAAAAAAAAAGATGAAAAGGCACATATAGCTCACAAAGATTATATTAATATTTTATTTTTTGGATGAAAAATGAGACAGATAAAAAAAATATAAATAGAAAAGAAATAATGTATTATTTGAATGAATAGAAGTTGAAAGGAAAGAAATAAAAAAAATTCTTTCATTTATTTAGATGATTAAAAATAAATAAATAATATTTTTATTATATTAAAAAATTAACTTAAAAATATTTTTTTATTATATATTTTATCTTAATATAAAATTCTTATTTTGGTTATAAAATAAATTACTTTTAATATGTTAAATAAGAAATGAATGAGAAAAAAAAAAGTTCTACTAAACAGTTGCATTGCACGCCTAAATGGGATGAAAATGTTTCAACTCTTACTAAACTAAATAAATGACACAATTTATATCCCTTCCAATTTCAGTGAAAACAGTGTAAAAGTTTTCTCTTAAATTTTGTTTTTCTTATGAAAAACAAAATCAAAGTCTGATTATTTTTTTTCCGTATGTTATAGGGGGACAAAACCGTCCCTCTAGATATGTTTAAATCAATTACTGATCTTAAATGGTAGAGAAATCAAGTAGGAAGAAAGTGGATATAGTTGAAAAAGTGGAAGTTTGGACATAAGCGAGTAAATGACTCTTAATCAAATATGCAGTGCAAGACAAATTGTACCAAACAAGCGAAGTTGGCAAAAATAAGAGGTTTTGCAATGATTCGTGACTAGATTACAAAAACCTATTCCAAAACTCCAAGATAGTTTTCAAAGGCTTATGTGAGGAATCTACTTGATGAATGTAAAAGCCAATAGAAGAGTGAAAATATGCTCTGAACTTTTTTTATCTAATTTTTCTTTCGACCCAAGTGCCTTAGATGCAAGCTTGGGTATTTTAACTAACATTGTAAACTATCTACATGCACTATTCTTGTGATTTAACGAGCTATCCAAAAATAAACTTTTACCCATATTTAGATCTTGTGGGATCGTTGTTCAAAAGCGCAATAGGACGAAGGAAGTGACTTCTAATTACAAACAACTAATTATTTCCTTTCAATTTGGCTTGAAACTAATTTAATCCTCAAAGGTTCATAATGATCACTACAGTAGAGGGACAGTTTTGACCGCAACAATAAGAACGGAAAGATGACAGCCAATATTAGAAACATTAACTAGTCAATACTGAAAGTTAAAGAAATGTTGTTCATTACAAAAGGGTTCAATGACAGGCTTAGAATTTTTTCCAATGAGGTGGTAATAATATTACTATAATTGATGGCATGGTAATTACCTTACAATAGTTCACTTTATTTTATTTTATTTACATTATTCTAATATTAGGATCATTAATGTGAACACATCTACAAAACAGAAAATACCTCCAAATATTTTACTAAAAACTAAGATAAATTAACAGGAGAAACAAATGGAAGAAGGTCATTTACACAAAATCCTTGCATAATATTATCAACTATCAAACAGAAGCAAACAATGTGGAGGTCCGCTATATGACTTAAGTTATCCGGCTCTTTGTATAATAATTCCTCAACTCTTGTTTATCTATCTCAAGTGACAATCATCTATACAAAAGGTTTACTTCTTTTTCTTTTGAGGGGGGGGGGGTGTTAAATATACATGAAATCACGAAAAGTAATAGTCAAATCCTCATATAGGAGACTTGACAGAATGAATCAAATACCATAGCAAAACCTTACACTACCATTCTCAAAAAAAAAATGGAAAGCTCCTATAAAATGTAATTCTATAATCAATAAAAGAAAATGTAATCCTACACACCACCACAAGGCGCACAACACTTCGCAAGTTGGAGAAAAAACCACTGCAAAGGATTTAAGTGGTCATCCTCCGCTGCAGATGGAGTTGGCAGTGGTAGTTCATCAGGCAGATGGCGATGAAACGCATCAACCGCAGCTGCAACACCATCTTCATTCTCAATCAACTTAGCAATTTCCATTGCTCGGGATTTCACCTGAAGATTAATGACCTCATTAACTATCAATTTATTGGCTAAACCATGACAATGTTTGCATAGAACAAGTGTTAAATTAAGTTATAAGGTATACAGGAGGAAACAAAACAATAGGTCTGGAATTATTATTTTTCAATATCCTTACTTTTGGGAAGTACAAAAAAGGATGGTAGGAAGGGGACACCTAAAAAGAGGGATGAATAGAATTTAAATTCACCTCTGGCTGGAGCATGAATCTTATGGCATTTGATAAATTCTCAACATTGAGCTGAGATATTGGGATTGGGGCTGGTCCCAACTCTTTCTCATATATTCTATCTCCCCAAAAGAACTGATCTCCAAAGAATGGAACTATGGTCGTAGGACACTGCAAGTTATGGTATTCATATTAGAAAAGTAAAATGCAATGAACTTTTTTCATAAGCACCAGAATAATGTCATTAAATTCTGATTTCTGAGACATTCAAACAAATCCTTGGATTTGGAAAAGAAAAATATCACAGACGATACTATTTAATGTTAATTACCCCAGCTTTTAATCCTGTTGCTGTGGTTCCAGCTCCACCATGATGCACCTGCAGTTTTCGGCCAATGAATCTTAGTCATTTCATGCCCAGATCTGAGTGGACATTCCACACCAACTCCTCAGCCCCTTTTTTCCCTAGCTTCCTCTTGGAAGAACATTTTACAGGTAAAGTTTGGGTAGTGATATTAAGCATCAAAGTAAAAAAGGCTTAAACTAGCAATGAGTAAACCACTTTGACGCACTAAAAAGCATTTTCGTTATTTCCCAATAAACCCACAAGAAACAAATTGAAACTCACCACTGCAGAACATTGAGGAAACAGCCAATCATGAGGGCATTCCTCCAGAAAGAAAACATTGTCACAAACTTCTGCCACTGCATAATGGAAAACACAATGCAGGTGCTATTAATGTCAAGTATCTAAAATGCACAGGACAAGATGTATAATTTTCTACCTGCATATCACAAGACATATTATGTAAACAGCTTAAGAATTCTTCAAAGTTAAGATCATCAAAATGCAGAAAATTCAACAAAAAGTTCTTACTAAATCAAGTTAAATCAATAATTTAAAGAAAAAGCTTAACAAAAAGATAGATAATGTTAAAGAAAACATTTCATTCGCTAGTCACAATGCAATGATTTTGCAGGCATATCTTAGATGCACAATATGACATAACATGCAGAAACATATTTAAAAGGGTTGACATTAAGCTATATAAATGTAAAACGAAATATTCAATCTCTGGGTTATTTTCTTAGTGAATAAAATTTTAGGATGAGGAGATAATATTGTCCCATTCCAAGGCAACGAAAATCTCCAAACTCTAACGAACACTTATAGAGATCTTAAATTTAGCTCATGTTACGACGACAAGTTGGGACTTGAATCTATGGCTTGTCAAATGCAAGGCTCTATCTAGTCACTCAACCAACCTTTTAGCATTCAGTCTCTAGGTTACATGCCAATTGGTAGTATGATATAGCCTTTAGGTGTTTATTTCTGCTCATCCTTTTTTATGAGCCTGTATCCAAAGCCCAAAAACTCAACTAAATAATACAATGAAATTTTCCCTTCATTTCCTTATATTTTTCTGATACCTAACATACTCCTTATGGATATTCTTTACAGTTCATTCATTCTTTAGCTCCTGCAAAGCAAAATATGTATCCACTTTTCTGTCAAACAAACCCATAAATTTTATTTTGGAATCTTGGCCTTCTGTTTTTCTTGGATAAGAACTTTGGGATAAAGTCAATCAATTCCTCAATAATAATCTAGCTAATTCAAAACAGTGAATATTCTCGTTAAAAGTAAACCACACAGAGTAAGTGAATAAAAAGAAAAAGAAAGGGGTGTTATCATTCCATGCTCAGTAAATACTTTAGAATCAGTCAATGGAGCCAAAGCATGTGATTAGACAGCTTCAGAAATTTCCATAAGCACAAACTAGAATAATTTTTACAATATTTCATAAGCTTAAATATGTTTAGTCCTTGTAATATTAGGTTCTTTTGCTTTAAGTCCCTCTAAAATATATTTTTTTTTCTGTTGTAATCCTTTAAAAATCTGAAATCTCCATTTTTAGTCCTCGCCGGTACTTGTGTTCAGTTATGGCTTGTTTAACAGACATCCTATGTGTATGACTTTTGATATTCATCAGTTTGTAAAATCACACACTGTCTTAAAAATCATCCCACCAAGATAACTTTTGAGCTCCAAAGAATAAAAATGTATGACATAGATGAAAGAGAATATCAGTTATATAACTATAAAATGAAAATTTCCCAAGAATATTCATGTATGAAAATTAATAAAAACTAATTAGAACTACGATAAACATAGCACAATGCCAGTAGGAAGGGGCTAGTGTTGAGGGTTTTGGATAGTTTGCATGAGGTCATGATCAAACCTAGTAATAATAAACAATGTGTTTCACTCATCCATTGACACTAACATACAAACAAATAACAACAAGAAACCAAAATTAATTATTACTTCCGCAACAGCAATCAGTACTTGAAAAAAAACTGAAAAAAATTGGTACAAAACAAAATTGGAATTGAATACTTACAATTCCCTAGATTGCCCCAACCCCGGTCAATAATTCCCCGTTGTTCGGTAGCTTTAAGTGCCTCCAATATAACATCCGTTGTTCTTTTAGGATCTTCAAGAGGCTGACAAAGTACACCGCATTCATTCAGAGGACTTCCAAAATTCATTTTGAAAATCTTGCTAATAGTGTCAAGTAATACAATGCCAAGTTCATTATTTTATGAGTATAGCTGAAACGGTTATTCATGACAATATATATCATTACACTGATTCTATTATAATTATCAAGCACAATCATGGATTACCCCAATTCACTGATGGTCATAAAAATAATTGAAGACAAATATTTTGATTACAGTAACATCTCTGCACACACTAGTCAAGGAAGGCCAGGACCATTAATCATTATAAGTATTGTCATAATTAGGGATTATGGTTTTCTTCAAGGAGATAGATAGGGTATTAGGGTTTATAATTGGGGATTTAGGTATTTACTATCAATAATTTGATAATAGCAGTTATTAAGGATTTTGCATATCTTTTCCATACGTTGGAGAACTTTATATCCTATTCAAGGTTAGGAATTTTTGAGCAGTGAGCTTGTCTTAGTAGAACTATGATTATTTGAGTTGTGAATAGAGCAGGTTATATCTTAGGGATTCCAGAATTCAGCCTCTATTGAATATGAATTTCAGAATTTTTAGTGCCATTTACATTCTGCTAATGTGTGATTAAATGCAGATTAATTGATTAATAATCAACCAGCCATTAGATGAAAAAGCGCATTTAAACTTGTATTGGTATTACAGTCCAAAAATGTAATGGACAAAAATAAGTTGCACCGTTTTATTAGGCATCATGTGTCATGCCTATGAAGGAAAAAGTAACCAATAAATCATTCATTGCATGCAAAATCTCATCATGCATCTTTTGATTAAGGTAAAGCTTTGATCCTCCAAGAATGTAACAAATACCATACCATGCTCCCAAACCCAAAATATAAAGGAGGTGGTCCTTTTTTAATCCATTGAACAAAATCTTCTCGAGGTTCATACTTGGATGCAAGGCTCAAGAAACAGTAACCAACAACATCAACTAAAGGGCCCCAGTCTGCAAATTTGTAAATGTCATTAGCTCTAGTAATACATTTGGAACTCTGAGCAAAACATTGTTGACCAAGCATGTAAGATTGTATACTATTTACTCTCAAGGATCATTTATTCTGAAAGTTTAAGCTGTTAAGTGGAAGCCTATCAATGATTTTACATCTACAAAATTTTTTAAGTGATATTATCAACCAAAAAAAATTATCGCACTTCATAAACAATACATATTGTCTTTTTAAAGTTGTTTAACAACTTAAGATTTGAATGGACTCTGATATATATAGAAAATAAAATAAAATCTGTTTGATTATTTAATCACAGCAGACAACTTTGTATACTCACAATCCAAGGCAACAGTTACTGTGCATTCAGTTCTAGACAGTAACAGCAAGTGAATTTATTTGCTACTTCAATGACTTTAATGATAAAACGATTACTCATTTAAAAAGAAGTACAATGAGGGCATCAAATGATGTAACTAATGATTGAATAGTTGTCCATACCATTTGGTTTTGGAACTACATGAGGACTCCACATATAGCCAGTTGGTAAGTGAGATATTGATCCACGGTACATACTGAAGTATGCAATAGGAGCAAGTTTCAATTTTGTTTTCCTGAAGCCATTGATTATTCCTCGCATTCCCCACCATATCAGTAGATCCACAATTATATACGACAGCTAGAGACACCAAGAAAAATATTGAAACAGGCTTATTGGTAAGGTAATTCCGTAAATATTCATAAAATTATCAAAATCAGATTATAAAAATAGTGTAAACAAAGGACATACCCAATAACCAGCACTTTGAGGAACACGTGCCAAAGGGTGAGAGAACTCATACGTTGGCCTGCATATTGAGAAAAAAAAAATATGTAAGTGATATCAAAGATTTAAAGAATGCAGTAAAAAAAAGGATGATTAAAAAATGTTGCATTTATCTGAAATTTGAAAATGCTGTTGTTCCTGGTTTAATTACAACATTTCTGTACGGTATGAACATTTCCATTCAAGAATTAGAAAGTTAATTATATTTTGTTATGAAACCTTATCTTCCTAACATATAAAAAGTGACACAACTGCTCTATAACACTTTAAACTCACGTCCATGGCATTGTGAAGAAGATGTGAAGGGGTACCCCAAGGGCTTCAGCAATATGTACATGTCCTGCAAACCGAAGTCACAAGATATAATTCTTTCTATGTTATTCTGAAAAGTCATGTGATGAACATTGCATGTCCAGGAAAGTTTGTAAAACAACCATGCTGAAAGGAGAAAAAAACAATTTTCTTCATATAAGATCTGCAATTCAATAACATTTTTACGAATTTAGTAAACAGACTCTAGAAGGAAAAAAAATCATCATTCATGCCTTGAATGGGAAAGCCCCTCAATTCATACTTCAATGTTGGTAGTCACTCTGGTAATACAACACTACTAAGTAGTCAAGACCATGAATATTGTTTAATTGACGTGAAGTAGCAGAACTATGTTCCAATCTACAGGTACATAGAGTAGCATCAAGGCTAACAAAAGAATCATCAAATGCCATAATTTCATAGCATCAGATATGATTATCATGTTGCAAAAAAAAAAAAAAAACTATTGCCAATTAAGCCTTTTAAAGAAAATTAAGTCATTAGAAATATACGAAATTAAGAAATATACGTACAGTAATCTCCCAACCACTTACCATACGCAGGAGGATTGGCAATAATAGCTTGAGCTCTGAAAGGAACACCCGTTTCCAAATCAGGTGCTGTGCATGCTGGAAGAAGGGAATCAATGATGACCTTCAACTGCTTTCTTTGGATAGATATTTCAGCCGGACCAGAAGGGATTAAACCTTTATTTCTTGCCATATCTATGCTTTAAACAACTCATTTAGTATATCAGTATATGGACATATAAAGAGTAGGAGCGACAATGAAATATGATTAAAACAAAAATACATGTTTGATTGAAATATCATAGTCATCGTTTAAGGTTTATTCAAGTTTCAAAACAAAAATAGGAGGGACTGAGCCAAGAGTGGAACAAAGTCAAAGCTTGGAATATCACAGTCATTGTCTAAGTTTTCCTGATCGCAGGCATCAAGGCATGTTTTGCAAATGCTTAGCTATTGGACAATGCTGAGAATGAAATGGATTTTTTTTTTTTCACTGTTTTTAATTATCTCGCAGCTTGCTATTGAAAATTTCATATGAATTAATTATCCAGGAAACAAATGTATACAAAAAAGAGAGATTATAAGGCTACAATAACTTTGACCAACTTATGACTTTTTAGGATTGAAGTTTTCCTGTGGGAATATTTATGTTAGGTTTGAATTTTTATTTAGTTCTATGAACTCTCCTCTCTTTACCTTACAATTCAATTGGTTATTTAGGATTGTATTTGAAATCCTTGTTCCAAGAGCAGGCATATATTTTTATGCTTGGTAGTTATTATATTATACATCTTATCCATTTCAGGTTTGTTTTAGGTTCATATGCAGTTCTAGGCAGACAAGATATGTTAAAAGTATTTATTTTACATTGTTGACCACATTATTAATGTTAGAAAATTTGGAAAATTCATTATATAGTAACAGTTTGAGGTATAAAAGCAAGATCTTCCTACACTGCTTCTTGAAAAGTATTTATAAAATGTTTAAGTTGACCATTTCAGAAATTAGCTCTTTAAGAGAAATTAAGTATATTTGAGCAGCATGCAATATCAGTACATTCAAGCGTGTTTTTAATGTAAACACCAAATTTAACAGGTGAACAGATATAAAGAGGTCAAAGAGGATTATAGTCGAGCAAAAAGTACAAGTAGACTGATATCTGAATTATTGAATATTAATAAAAGTATTAAAAAGGAACATCTTACATTCTGCCAATACACGAGGATCACCACCCAGAGGATAGAAATCTACACCAGCTGCCTTTACAAATGTTTTGAAATTAGCATGAGTTGCCAGCCTAACATGATGACCATACTCCTGCAAGTAAATATTAGTTCATCTATGACAACAAGAAAGTATGAATTCAACAAAACTGACTGCTGGGATGTTCAATTCATTAATAGTAGTGAAAAATCAAGATTTTGCATCCTTTCAAGTAGATCAGCAGTACAAACCATGTGAATGCAATCCAGGGATTTTAAACTCAAACAAAGAGAGGTAACTAAAACTACAGGAGACCATAATAAGGGCCTGTTTGTTTTATATTAAGAATCATATATCCCATGTCATGCAAACATTTCAATGTAAAATCTGTGGTTAAGATTAATTTGGGTATATGTTCCAATTACATTCAACAATTAAAAACAGGTGCATCTTACTTTAAAACTAGCAGGCCCCAAGTCCTTCCCAGAAATTAGAAATCTCATTAAGAACTTCAATGACGAGTTGTTTTCACCAATCCCAATATGACAAATTATCAAGATACCTATTCATTACAAACAGTATAGTGCTTTTTCAGAATAAGCAAATAAAAGGAAATCTATATATGATGTGATTAACAGGAAAAGCAATCCAAAGTTCTTATTTAGGCTTCATATTAAATTAAATTGCAAGATATCAAGATATTGGGGAATCCTACGCCATTATATTATATATGCAACAAAGCAATAACAAAAGTAACAATGATTTAATGATGCAATTCTCATGTGCAGCCAAATGAATTGAATGAAATATCCAAACATGCCTGAAGTCTCTTTGCAATGGCCAGAAAAGGTTGTACATCGCCCCTAGTTCCAACCACAAGAATGACAATTTGTAACTGTGGAATGTGTCTTTTTGATTCAGAAATAAGACTTCCACTAACTGTTGACTCTTCAAAAGATTGGAGCTCTAACAATTCTGGAGCAACAGATGCACTCCTTTCTAGATCAACTTCAACAGTCCCATCATTTTGTATCTTCACTAGGTTAGCAATCAGTTGTTGCTGGGTAGCAAAACAATAAATTGTTATGAACATGCAAATAATTTGGAAACTCTAATGCATAAATCACAAATACAAAAATACAGACCACAACTTCAAAGTAAAGCTACAAAGACATAGCATAACCAAATTGGTCAAATAACCGAACCACATGTCAAGAACCAAAAGATATGTCCAAACACAAAAGAACTAGTGGCAGTGTTCCAGATTTCCATCTTTTGAACAAGATTAAACAGAGCAGCCAAACAAATATTATTATCTGCATTGTGAGTGCAATTTTTCTCTAACTAGAATAAAAATACACAAGCAGAAGTTTGAGATTTAAGAACATCCACATGCAGTAACACTTGCATATACCTTCTTATGTTCAGAGAGCCTGTCCAAAATTATGTCATGCCTAGGGAATCCCCTCTTCTCTGTCATTGATCTAGAACGCAAAATCTCATCGTCAGCTACAAGTGGGTTGCTGTCAGTTCCAATGGGTGCTGTGATGCAATGTTCCAAACCTTCAAGAATAGAATTTAACATACAAAACATATCAAATTCATCTTTTAACAGAAGCAGGTTAGAAACAGTAATCCACGTGGACAAGACAAATAGCATTTAACCAATGTAGGAGGCAAGCACGCACTTAATTATTTTTAAAAGGAAAAAAGCTATTGAGTTTGAAAATAATTTCAAATGAATTGGACTTTTGGATTTCAACTTGTGCAACAGTTAGAAACCCAGAATAAAAAACAGATAAAAGAAAATATTTGATTTCTTCATTGAAAATGAACAGAAATAGGAAAAAGATCTCTCCTTTCTAAACAGAGTCTCTCCTTTACTCCAACTAGAGTCTCTCCTTTACAAAGGGTTTCCCCTTTCTAAACAGAGTTAATGCTTAGTTTCCAATTGATACAAAACACAATGCCACTCTTTCTAACCGACCTCCTATTTCATCTAAACCCCTGTCCTTCAACCCTAACTAACTAGTTGTTATGATTAACTTACTATTTACTGTAACTAACTAGTCCTTCCACTCCACTTTCAAGTCAAATCCCAAAGCAAAAAATAGAAAAGGCCAAAACAATAACGCATGCATCAGATAACAACAGAATTCAGTGACTTACTCAACATACTGAAGAGACCTTCATTACTAAGATAGCAACAACAGAACTAAAGCAATACCTACATCACAGCCATCAACTGCTTAACAGAAGAAACTGATTTAAATAGAACTAACAAGCACAAACCTCTTTTTGGGGAAAAAGAAACTTGTGATGACTTCTTCCAATCCTCAGCCCCCTTAGAAGAAGCTGCATCAAAAATTTCACCTTGAAACTTGATGTCCATTATTTGCCTGAGATCTTTCTTTTGCTGGCTACCAAAACCTTCTTCTAACAATTCTTGGGACAAACACTCAATCCCATCACTACCCATCTCCAAAAATCAGTGTTTTTCAATTGATCACTTGTTCAGAAGCCCCAATCATGTTACAAGCTGAGAACTGAGAAGGATTAGAACAAACAGTTCTTGGGAATCTGATTCTGAACAGTTTCAATTCTTCTTTAGTAAGAAGCACAGGTACCCCATAAACACGTGGGAAGCGAGGTTTCAAAGACCAAAACAAGAATTTAATAATACAAAGTTTTAGTAACGAAAAAATTATAATTTGCACGCAGACCCACTAGTCATAAAGCACAAAGAACGTTTGGTGAACCTAAAGTTCAAAGTTCAAAGTTCAAACCCTTTTCCAACCCAGTTCAAGAATCAAGGTGAAGTTCACGTTGGTCACGAGAATCAGTTCAAAGTACCAAAAACAAAGGAAATCCAAAATTAGGAGTGACACAAGTTGCCCAGAACAAGCTACTGCAACTGCAACCAGGGCAATGCAAATAAATACGCCTTAAGCTCTATGTAATTTTAAAATAATTTGTATTATTATTTTAATTACTACAAATATATATGACATTTTTATATTTTATACTCAAAATAGTAAAAGAATTATTAAAATGATAAATAAAAAGATATAATAAATTTCTTTTAATATATTTTGATTTATTGATCAATTATGTTTATAAATATGGTAAGCATCGTTTAATGCAAGATCAAATCTTGAGAGCTCAAGATAAGTTTGCGTGTTAAAATTATTTGAATACATCTTAAAATTTAATAAAGAGTTTTTTATTGTGTGCTTGTGGTAACAATAATAAGATAAAAACAGATAACTTTTGTTAAAAAAAATAACTTATTATATTGAAAATATCATATTTATTTTAAAATATTTAATAAAATATAGTATGTAATATTTTCATATCATGTTGCAATTTAATCGATTATATGTCCTCGCAGTGAAATTACTATTGTGGCCTTATTTATGGTTCAGACTTGAGACCAACGGTACCACCGCAAACAAATTAATGAGTTCCAAGTGGTTGTTGTTTTGGACACAATTTTCTTCAGTGTCTAAACATACATGGGCTCAATAAAACCCCAATCCAATCGGATACAGCTCAACAAAATCAATTTTTTATTCAAAAACAAATATTTTAATCTTTTAAAGTATAAGCATAGTTGATAATTAAAATTTGTAGTTTTAAGCACTAAAATGAGAGCTTATTTATTTTTTTGTTGTTACATGCAAAGCACAAAAAACATCTAAAGAATAAGTTTGATTTCATCTTTAAAAAAAGTATAAGTCACTATCATATGATTTTTTATCGTCCAAGATAATATTAAAATTGATTTTCACAAAAAAAATATAAAATACGTAAGTTAAATTTAGGTTGGTTTACAATGATTAAAAATATTAATATTAATTTTAGAGATGTGATTAAATAAATAATAATAATATTTTATTTAAAATATTTTTATATATAAAAATTAATAAAAAAAACTATATTATGAAATACGTAAAATCAAAACCAAAAATATATTTAATAAAAAAATAATTAATATTACTGTATTCACTTTTTCAACTCATCCAATGTTGTATAATATAAAAATCTTTAAATAAAAAATTATAACATTTAATAATATTAATATACTAAATTATATTTAATTTTATAATATTTAATAAAAATTATTATGTATAAATTATTATCATGTATAACATTACAAAAGGTTAAAAAAATGTTATTATATTATACTATGAGTTAAAAGTTAACGTTACGTTTTTAGGCGTTCAAATGAAATAAAAAATAAATACATAAGTAAAAATATAATTTAAATTAAATAAAAATTATGATAAATGTAACACCCAATATTTTTAAGTATTAATTAAAGAATTATGTGATTTTAAGTGTGATTATAATAAATTTAGATGGAATTTGAAATAAAATAAAATAAAATTTAAAAAAAAAGTGAATAGTAAGTCAGCTAATTATTCTAGCTATGAATAGTGAGTCGACGTGAACAATTTTAATTTTTTTTTTTTTGGATTTTGCATATAAATAGAGGATTTTGCATGAAATCTTTATTCTTCACACTTTTCAAAGGTTCTAGAGAAATCCAAAACTATATACTACCACTTTCTTTCATCCTAAATCTTTTAAACTTGGATTTTTCTTCATATTTGAGATTGTATGTTCATTCTAAGCGATTCAAAGTAAATTTCTTTAAGTTTGAATTTAGATTTATCTTTCATTTCTTTTCATCTCAAATTTCTTATAGGTATCTTATAATTTTTAAGATAAACTTTGATTTTAGAGTAAAATTTTCGGTTAAGTCTTTGAGAAATCCTTATATTAAGGTAAAGAGGCTTTACTTTATCATTTTATTATGTTTATTTCTTGTATTCTCATAAATCTTGTCATATATGTGATTATATGTGAAATAATCTTTGTTTTGTGAAAAAATAACCAGTGAAAAGTGAAAATAATTGATTGTTTATACGATTTTATGATGAATATATGGTGAAAATGTGTTATTATGTTCAAATAGTGCATGACAAGGTATATTGAGGATTTTGATATGATTTTGTGATTTTATGATATGAAATATACAAAGAGATAGATGCTTTATGTTTGAATATATTATGTTCATGTAAAAAATGATGTGTATTGTGAATATGTCATGATTTGATGTATATAATGAATGGTACGTAAAAATATAATGAAAAATATGTGTGAACATGAGAAATGACATTTGAACATGTGAATATACTCAAAAAGAGTATGAGATGAAAATAAGCATGATATAAATAATTACAGAGATACACTAGTGGTGGAAGATGGAGACAATATGGGATATCTTGGAGAAATATAGGATGGTGAGTGATATTTGGCATTGTTCACGGAATATTGTGTACGAATGCACCACATGGCCGCACACTCATTTATTGACTTGACTCTTGACCATTACCTTTGTTAAGAAGCTGTCTATTGCATGCGTTGTATCTATATTGCATTGGGTCATTCGGCGACTATTTACATAGATGTGTAAGACCTCGAGATAAAGACATCAGATAACTGTGGCCACAAGGCGCGGTAAGCGCGGATAATGAAAAGAAGTTGTGAATTTATGGAATATCACGATATTTTCTTTAATTATAATAAGATGTATGTTATAATAAATATGTATTATGTATAAGTGGTAGGGTAAAGACTCACCCTCACACAACATTTTCAAGAAACTAAGACGAGTAGTACTAAGCTCACAGTGCATAGAACTGTTATAAGACTTAGTTATTTGGAGTTATGTAATAAATATTTTTAGTTCTATAGCATTTTTTTAAAACAGTTGTAAAATTACTATTTTCTTTATTGTAGATGAAATTTTAGAATTTTTATTCTCTAAAGTACTTATGAATTAATAAAAATTTTACATTATGGTTTGTATTATTTTCATATTTCTTTCTCACTTTAATAATATTCAGAGGAATTTGTTTTATTTTTTTTATTCTTTTATGAAAATATCTTATATTTGAGAAAAGAAAAAATAAGGCGTTACAATAAAAATATGTGTTATTAAAATAGATAAAAAAAGAATTTATTTTACTTATTTAGATTAAATAAAGAGAGAATAAAAAATATAGTTTTATGAAAAAAATTAAAATAATAATAAATTTTTATTTAAAAATAATAATTTTAAAAATTTAGTATAAATTATTATTAATAATGTAATGTTTAATTATTTTTATATCTTTTTACAAATTATTTTTAATAAAACATAAAAAAAAATTCCACATCTTTCTATTCAAAATTCTAACCATTTTATGTAAATAAAATAAAATAATAAATCTCACATAATTTTTTTCTTCATACAAAAATATCTAAATATACATAAATTATTATTTTTTTATTATTATTATGGGCTAGGAGCCCAGAAACAGATAGAAAAGGAAGCAGCTTTTCTAAGGCTAATCATTATTTTTCTTTTTCTAAATTTTAACAATGAAAGCATGTGCAGGAGAAACAGCTTTTTTCGCAAATTGCAACGTCTATGGCAGTCAAAGGAAATACACTAAGAGCCTTTTTAACCTTTGTGTTATAATATATATATATATATATATATATATATATATATAGTAAAATATCACAAAATTTAATATATTAATTATAATAACAAATATTATTTGTTTAATATGTAAACGTATGAGAAAATCCGACAGAGTAATACTGCCCATGAATTTTTATTAGGGGAAATGAAACAAAACTATGATTATGTCTCATGCTGCATGTCGAGATTCATGTGTAACTCTGAAAGTTGCACCTGAAGCTATCATAGCTTATGGCGAATAAAAACACAAAAATAATGTTCGTTAGTATATTTTTTTAAAAGCTTAATTATCATGCCTTTTTTTTTAACTCCATTTATAAATATTTAAACATTACCAACACCTATTTAATTAAAACTACGTAAATGGCTTAATCTAATCATTATAAATTTGGTACGCGAGTTGACCTGTAAAACAAATAGACCTATAAAATGAACAGCTTATTATGCCTAGCTCACATGTTAATAGGTTGACTTGTTTAATAAATTAAATATATTAAAACAATAAAAAAATTTAAACATGTTTCAATATGTACATATAAAAAAAAAGTAAATTAAAAACATAATAAACAATAATTTTTTTTAAAAATACCCGTAAGTCAATTCTTCAATCTGCGGCTAAAATGAATTCAAGTAAATATTTGCTGAAGAATGCATTCAGTGCACAAACAAAAATTGCTAAAAAATTGGCACCTTACTGAAATTAACGAGAAAAAAATAAAAACTACCCCAAATCAAAATTACTAATACACAATCATATATACAAAATCAATCTTAATCTGTACAAGATTCGTATGTACATGTACATGTACAAATACATTCCTATCTCAATCATCTACATGACATTATATGGATCTTTTCATTTCCTTAATGACCAAAGCCCTTGCCTGGTTTATTGTAACAAGGCACAAGTACACACGTTCTTCAAGTTCTTCCACTTGTGTCCTGAACCCAACATCACTTTCTTGAGCTCCTTCACAATCTGCAAAGAGAATCTCTCTTCTTTCCTGTCCAAACAGAATTGCACCATTGCCCTGTCATGTTCAATTTCATCATGAAGCCGAGCTACAAGTCTACTTATTGTGTCAAAGTCTCTATTTAATATATAAGTTCCCTTGGCTGCTATGTCAACTTGATCATAAACTTTACTAAGAGACCCACTTCCTGGAAAATTATAGCTTTGAAGCTTCCTCTTAAGATGCTTAAATGGGATAGTGAGAATTGCTGGCCCCATGATTAGTGCTGTCAGTGTGTGTGTTGCTATAATCATGGATATGATTGGTATTATGCCACAAGCTGCTGTGACACAAATCTTAGACGCCTTCTTCAAATACTTAATCAGCTGAATTTTCCTTCCCACCTTTTTTCTCGTTGACTTTAGATGGTGCAATAATGATGAGTGCTTATCATTGACGAGTTTGAAGTCATGGTTTTGAAGGTTTAAAAATGGGTTATTTCTGTGGATGAATGAGTTTAGCTCAAAGATGATTAGTTCAAAATTTTCCAAAGAGTCACCATCCTTAATGTTTAGTGCTCCTTGAATGAACTGATAATTAGAGTGGACTTGGTTGATGCTTTTGAGAAGTTGGCTGCAAATCTGTGAGGCCTCAGCACTAATGTCAAAGTAACTGAGCATAAGGTTTTTGAGTTCTGGTGTCTTTGAAAGGGTTGTTGAGTCAACAATGAAAGGTATAGTTTCTTGGCAAGGTTCAAGGAGGGTTTTTGATAATTTGTTGTGATTGTAATTAATGGAAGGCTGGTTTGCAAGTAATTGAACTTTATTGAAGAAATCAACATAGGATTTTGTCCTTAATGCCCTGTGGTACTCCTCATGGAAGTTGATGCTTTTTGGTGAATCTCGATGTTCCTTTACATCTGAAAAGAAAATAAAATATGCCAGTCAAATTTCATCATAAATGCATTAAGAAACTAAATAGAAGACTTGGCAAAACCTTTATGATGCTATATACAAAGATGACAAGTTTAGGAAATTAACTCGATCAGCTTACACGTGGTTTAGACTTGGAAAAATTAATGTAAGAACCCGAAAGCTGATGAGGAGTGGTAGGCAGAAAGAAACTTGAAGCTTGATAAACAAATGGCTGAGTTAAGTTTACATTCATGAATTTATGATTGCGTGAAGAAAAGGGAAATTTTGAGAAACAACAAATACCAAGCTTTTTCCATGTAACATTTCATGCAGATGTACCTGATTAATGTAATTTTGAAAACTCTTTCATCATTTGCTTGTAATTAAAAGGGGTATTGATTACAAAATAGAAATATTTTGGTCTAGCAAATGCTTTCTATTTCCATTTCGTGCTTGGAAATTTTATGTTAGTCATAAACAATTAATTAGGACCCATTATCTCTTACATAAACCAGATGTACAAGATGGTTAATCTTTTCAAACTTCGTTGATTTTCTTCAGAGTTATGACAAAATAAGCCACGCTACATTAGACTAATAACATTGCTTTAGATTTTCTTGAATTTGAAAGAAGTAGCCAGGGAATTGGAAAGCGCAAATGAAAAGGGCTGAAGTCATAAGAACATACCTTGGCTGGTTTTCCCAGCTCTTAATTTTGCCAACATCTTGGTTTATCCTATGAACAAATTCGACGCTGCAAAAGCTAAGAAGGGAAACTGATATTATACGAACAAACTTGGCTCTCAATCACTAAATTAGAAGGAGAAAAGCCTAGCTATCATACCATTTCATTATCCTTATTATTTGTAATCTTAAATAACAAAGATTGGTTATCCATGTAGTGCTAGTGATCAACTTCCTCTCAGCTAGGTGGTCTATTGAAAATTCCTATATGTTTGCTTATAAACCCCCTCGTACTAGTTAATTTCAAGGATTCAAATTTAAGCTTTATCTTCCTCTAAACTCATCCTAAGAGACAGAAAATAAATACTTGCCAAGTTTTTGCAAACTTCAAGGCTGAAATTGCTGGAGATTGCTTTTCTCCCGAGAACTTTATTCAATCAGGTAGATTGGACTTGCAAGCTTACACCATTTTATGTAGTTTTGCCCAATTATAATTGCTTCATTCTGCGTGCTTGCACCATTCTATCCTACAAATGTATCATACAGGCTGCGATATTTCTTCCTAAAAAATGTGGATTAAATAACAATTATACCCTTGCCAGCCCCTTTTATGTGAATCAATATGCAGTGGACGTTATATCTTCTTGCTTTGATTACAAATATTATTTATTCACTTTTATCATATTTTTTCCAAAAAAAAAATACTAATTTCTTAAAATGTCTTAGCAAAACTCTTAAATTATATATATATATATATATATATATATATATATATATATATATATAAAGCAATAGGATATACCTCTTGATTGATGCATGGCCCATCTCCAGCTATCGGCGAATCTCTGCCTCATACTTAAGCACTGAACACTAGTTTTCCAAACTTTACAATCAACCTGTTTATTGTCTATTATTATGCATGCGAATATATTAGCTTCAAGAACCCTTTTAATAAATATAGTTCAGTAGCTAGCGCGTCATCGTCAACATTTGTCATTCTATGTTAAACACATATCATCTTCAATCATTGGTTTATTCCTTTCGAGTTTGAATATCCCTTTGTCTTGATTAATTGATCATCTCATCCATGTTGTCGTTATTTGTGGGCATGGACCCCTAATCATGTTCTGTTGTTACGCCTTCACCCAATTGAAACAGCCATGCATGCGTACACATAGAATGAGTCACGATGTGTAAGCAATAAGCATAAACCTATCTAGTTTTGAGAAACCAACAAGTCTAATCTACGTGCCCGAGTAGGTATCAATTATGAACATTCTCAAAGTAGAGAAGAAACAGATAAAATGTAACATTGTCACGTAAATACTCGTCATTATGAAATATATTATACGCTAGCATTGCCAAATATTTTCTCTACGCTTCTAGCTTTTTCCCTTGAATGGGGAACTTTTTAAACGTCTGTGCTTGACTCTTGAGATTTTATCCTCCTTCTATTATTATCTTCTTTTAAGAACCTTGAAAAATGGGAAATCGTTTTTTTTTCCCTTTTGATCGGTTAACTATTAGGGTCGATCGATTACATGAAACTAAGCAGTTTCCTAACTAAGAAATAAAAAAAAAAATTATTAAAAATTACATACAAATAATAATAAAAGTATACTAATAATTTTTAATAAAAAAATTAAATTTCTTAAATAGTGTCTATGTTGTTGAGTTTAAATGGATCAAAATTATAGAGGAAGTCAAAGTATATATCAAAATAAACTATGGTACAATATTCTCTTTTATTTCTGTTTTGGTGTCAAACTTCTTCGACATAAGGATAAAAGGAGAAGGAAAGAAATAGACAAGAGGAAAATGTATGTAGAAAGAGATAACTTACAATCACTAAACGACATGAGAGTGAGTGAGTGATGCATAGAATTAGAAGCAACCTTTTGGCTTTTGGGTGGTGGGGAGTCTTATTTAAAGTCCTTAAGAAAAAAGCATATGCGTGCAAAGTTCAAATTGCGATGAGGGGGTTTTATGTATATCTGATTTAGAGCACTTGGAATATTCATTTCGTACCAAATGTTGTATATATGTATATCTCACTTTTATTTATTTTTTGGTCGATTGGGATGAGAATGTAATAACTATTACAATCCCATGTGTGTCCTAGGAATTGAAGTGGAGAATTATTAGCTGAAAATTAAATTAAATTAATTATTATAGTGAATTGAATATTAAGATAATATTATATGTTTTATATGAAATAATTATATATAATAGACGGTGAGAGTTAATAATCTTTAAAAATATATAAATCTTCAATAAAATGTTTTTAAGTTCATAAACACAATAGGAATCACTTTAAATTAAACCTTCATTATTATAATCACATGAGCATACTCAATCTACTGTTGTCTAAAAAGACCTAACATGTATAATATATATACGCATAGTTGCAAGCGAACTTGAAGCGCACATGAACAAGGTTTTGTGTGAATTGACCTAAATAAATTTACTTATTATGTCAATCATTTATACATGTTCTAGTTGACTTGCACAATTTATTGAATTTAACTTACATAATAGTCCAAGAGAATTGTTTTTTAAAAATCATTTTTTTATTCTATGTATTAGATGCATAATTACGAGACTAAAACTTATAAGCTTTTGTTAAAATTTATTATATCAATTGTAGAAAAAAAATATTTATTACTTAAAAACTTTTTATTTTTTTAATCCTTAACCACCCAGTGATAGGATAGACAAAATCGTTTTAAAAAAAATGAAAAAATATCAACTAATAAATAACAATAAAAAATAAGTAAAAGAAAAATGTAAATGATAATCTGAACTTATTTATAAGGTAGCACTCATTTTAAAGTTAAGACTGAGAGGATTTAACTAATTATTATTATTATTATTGAAAATGTAATCTATAATTTAATCTCTTTTGAAAAATAAAATTATTAAAGTGGAGACAATTCTTTTAATATTTTTGCACAAAATTAAGAATCAAAATATGATTATTGTTTTTAAAGAAATTGTTTCACTTCTAAGATAACAAGAAAATAAAAAGTACAAAAAAAATATATATTCATCTTTTGAAATACATTGTAAGTCTATAAATTTTTTTAATTTAAATATAAGATAAGTATACTCTTGTTGACTCACTTTTTTTAAAATAAGTCTCATAATAAAAGTTTGTAATGATATTTATAAATGCCCTAACAAGACCCCAAACACAAATCAAACTCAATACCACTTTGACTTTCTTATATCACGACTAACACCAATTAAAAATAAGTGAATCCTTATATATGCAAAGTTATTTTATTTCTTTATTTAATTATAAAATATCATTAATTTGGTACTTTAATAAAACAATAAAAATAAATTAAATTATTGTGTAAATAAAAACTAATGCATTTTTTCAATACACTCCTATAATAATTTTTTTTTCATTAGCTTATTTAAAAAAATAAATCCAACTCAATTATCTTACATTGATCACTTTTAAGAACTGTCTTAAAAAAAATCTAGTGATATAAACTATTAAAAATATATTAATATTTTTAGGCGAGTACACACGTCTTACTAACAATTAACATACATAAGAGTATCGAGATAAATTATCAGCAACATGTTTTTTAACGTAATAATAATAATTATTAAATAAAATTAGTTCCAAGGCTACCAAAAAAACAAGATATATCACATTACTCTTTAATGTAATATTAAAAATAATATAGTAAATAATGTGTCATCCGTTCATTTGAATTGATTGTATCAATCAAGTACTTTCAATTTTTTTAAATTTTAAATATTAAATAATTTTATTTTTTAATAATTTTTGTTAATTTTTTTACCAATTTATTACATTGGTCAAGCATTATTGCATTAAAAAATGTTTTCAAGAAAATAACTAACATTGGGTTATGGGAAGGAAGAAAAAAACAAGCGGCAAGAAGGCATTGGGCGGTTCCACTCTGCAGCTTCCACTCTCTATCAACCTCACTCCCAAATCCCAATTCCCAAAACCCTAGGAGAGAGAAAGGCACAGAGAGAGAGAGAGAGAGAGAGAGAGAGAGAGAGAGAGAGAGAGAGAGGCACGGAGAGAGATTGACTGATCCATGGCGTCGTCGAAGCTGATGGCTTCTTCGAACTCAAGAAAATCGGAGACACCCTCTTCTCCTCCTCCAAACCCCCAATTCACCACCACCAACTTCATGCCCATGCCCGACGCCACCGCCACTCCCAAAACAGTCGACGAAGTGTGGCGGGAGATCGTCGCCGGCGAGCGCCGCGAGTGCAAGGAGGAGGCTCCAGACGAGATGATGACACTGGAGGACTTCCTCGTCAAGGCCCGCGCCGTCGACGACGAGGACGAGGACGAGGTCAAGATGCCAATGCCACTCACCGAGAGGCTGAGCGGCGGCGGCGGGGTCTTCGCGTTCGACCCTATTCCGACGACGCCGTTTCAGGGATTAGAGAGCGTGGAAGGGTCGGTGATAGGGTTTGGGAATGGCGTGGAGGTGGTGGAAGGGGGAAGGGGGAAGAGGGGTCGTCCCGTTTTGGAACAGTTGGATAAGGCTGCGCAACAGAGACAGAGGAGAATGATCAAGAACAGAGAATCTGCAGCTAGGTCTAGGGAACGCAAGCAGGTACTTGTATTAATTTAATGTGAATATGACGTTGAAATTCCATAAATGTTTTTGTTTTTTTAATTCTGTTTGACTTTTTTTGTGTGTTGGTGGTGAATTTCAGGCTTATCAAGTAGAATTGGAGTCCTTGGCGGTGAAACTAGAGGAAGAAAATGACAAACTATTGAAGGAAAAGGTGATTGACGTGTTTTTAAATTTTTGTTCCTCTCATTATTTCATATAACTCGTGTTGCTTGGAATTTCGCCCGTTGTTTTTTGTAATCATCACAGATGACAATTAAGTGTTGCTTTGTGTTGAAGTTGAAACCGTTGCTTCGCTCATTTTTATTTTTTTTTTCCATTTTTCAAGTGCTGTGTTGTACCCTGGTAACGTGGAGATACAAAGTTTGTACTTCTCTTGTGCCATTTCGCTGATCATTGATTAGTTTTTTTGGCCTGATCTTGTTCCTTGAAATCCATTAATATACTTGTTAACTAGTTTGCAAGTCCTCTTTGCCATGCTTTCATCATAAATGGGTTTATCGTTCCCATTCAATCATGTCCATCCTTGCTCAATTGCAACATATCTTCATTCTGGGCATCCGGTAGTTGTAATGGTTTCTGGAATCATGGTTATGTCTGGTCAGGGTATGCCTGATCATTGAGATTTTAAGCAAAATATCTGTGCGGTTGTACTCGTAATTTCTTGAATGCTTTTTCAATCGTGCATCCAATTCTAATCCCTTTTTTTTTTCTCTCATTTACATTTTGATAATAATAAAAACGAAATTCAGTTGTTAGTGGCACAGGACTTTTCCTTCACAGTTTTTGACAATGCTTTTAACCCTTGACAGTTTACTGAGATGCGCATATTATTTTGCATACTGATAATTGTAATTAGTGTGCTAACTTCACTGGTGTTCATAAGCAGAAATGATGACCATTGCCTATTATTGAGAATGCTTATAATTCTTTTTTTGGGAAATGTCAATGTTCGTTCATTGATTGTTCAAATAGTGTTAAGTGGGTAGTGGCCCAGGACTTTTCAAGTTACGCACACGAGGGTGGGGAGAGGAAGAGTGGTAACCAACCATTGGACTATTTGTGAGAATTGGGTCTGTGTATAAACACTTCAAGATACGGTGTTGAATTTGCACTCTACCAAGCAAGATTTCCTTTGTTGGAATGGGAAAATGTCTTTTTCTGCCTCAAAGAATTCAGCTGCTAAATCCGTCATTTTATTATATCTGAGGCATGGACTTCCTATTTCTTTTCTCTCAACGCATGCTACTGTGCTTGTTTTCATTGCTAGCATGTTTTAATTTGCAATGTTGCTTCAAGCTTTTGGGTTGCAAAAAACTCACGTTTTGGAATGGTTGTTCCCAAACAGGGAATGTTAGGGTGCTTGTATGTAGCATTTAATACAGGTTCAACTTTTGTCTGTCTCATTTCTTGTTGGCCTTTTGCCTCTCCAGCTTTAGAGTTTATTATTATCTTTTGCTCCCTTATCTCTTACCAAACATATTCTTGTGCAGGCTGAGAGAAAAAAGGAGAGGTACAAACAGGTACTGATTTGCTCTGAAGTTAGTTTTGTGTTGCACCTTGGTAAAAATATTTATGACGAAAAATTTGCACATTGCTTTGAAGAAATTCTTTGTCAGTTGATATTCTAGCCAAAGGTTACAGGTTACTTGCTAGTTGCTACTGACAAAATGTTATTAGTAATATTTCTTTTAGAGTTTTTGCTATAACAACCTGACTGGTAATTAATCATGAACGGATGTATGTTTCTTTTGATTCTTAAGGTTGCTTGTATATGATATGCGATAACAAGAGATAAGCAAGTTAACCCAGTGCTCCTACTGAAGTGATTTGAGAGAGAGGGAAAAAAATTAGTTTGCCAAGTGTCGTATTCAAGCTAGGTGTTTTGTTTCATGAAGCTTGTTATTAGCATTGGATTTTTAGCTACCAGCCTATCACTGAAAAATGCAGAGCTATCGAAAAATAATCAGATTACAACTGATCTGGGTGTTTTTTGTGCAGCTAATGGAAAAAGTGATTCCTATTGGTGAGAAGCGAAGGCCACCACGATTACTCCGTAGAGTTCGCTCCTGTCAATGGTAGATCAAATTTGCTAGTGGTGCAGAGTGGGAACCGAAGATCCATCACATCCGTGTTGGGAAAATAATAACATGAGGAAATTAATCATCATTTCTTAAATCGAAGTTCTCAGTCTAACGGTTAATCTCAAGGGCAATCATGGTTAATGATATATAGAGATAGAAGGAATTGGAACCTGAGCCGTGAAGGAAAATTCCTTATTGCGTAGGAAACAACATTTGCCATTTAATAGGAGATCAAAGCAGAAGTATGGAGTTGGTCCATGTAGTTTAGATACGAAATAGACATCCTGGTGTCAACCCCTGTGTAGAATGCCAATGTGTAATAGTAGAGCGCTGAGGGGATATGTAGACGAGTATATAATGTAGTCATGGCTTAGACAGATACTTATTTGGAGAAAAAAGAATATAGAAATTGTTTATGCATCTGTCAGTGCGTTTTAGTCTTGAAACTTCAGTGCATGTGAAATATAATCAGTGATGTGTGCAGTTCCGTTGGTATTTTAGTCTTACAGTCCTTTTCTATAAGACAACCTCCTTGTTGAAAAAATACCAGCTAGCTCTGTTCTTGTTGCGGATAATTTATTGATTTTTTGGTCTTTTTTCATTACCCACATGCCAACTAGAAACCCGAAAATTAATGATGTTTATATTAATTGAGGGTGTTCTGGATAAGTGAGAGGGGAATGAGGAGAAAATATAAATAAACAAAAGACAAGAAACATGATGCTTCCTCTTTGTCGTTTTTATCCTTGTGGTTTCGTTATCTGTAAGTTGGAGTGTTGGACCACATGTTGAGATTAACTTATGAGAGTAAAGCTGCTACCTTAGGGATAGACATCGTGCACTATATTTGACTGACCCCTTCCGTAGGATTGTACCATTCTAAAGCAATAACAGTATTCACCATCAAGAAGGTTAAAGATTGATGTTATGTTACTAGGACCCCGGAGTCCAGAGCTATAACGATGAAAGAGTTAAGATACCCTGTTAACTGGGGGACACCTATCAGTTAAACGACAACGAATTATATGGCTGAATTTTATTATTCAAACTAAAGGTGTGATTCTTGACCATAAAAAGAAAAATACTACAGGTGTGACTAAATTTCAGGTAAAATCATGTCACGCTATATTTGTAATTACAGAAAAGTTATTATCTTATGATTTTCAAGATATTGAAACAGGGAAATGCGTAGGTATTATCTAATTTGCCATTTCTTGCCAACTACGTTATTACTCGCAGCTTAAGTAGTGTTTTAACTCTATGAATGATTTAAATCTCATGGGTTGAAGATCGCTTGTCAAATGAAGAAGAAATTCAAATCATGAACCATATGCTGACAAAAAAAAAAAAGTAGAGTCATATTTTATGTCTTCTCACCCAGAAAGAAAGTAAAATAATGACAATCATAAAGTGTTTAGAGTAAGACTGAATGAAGTTAAAATAAAGAGCATATTACTTAGCGAGACCTATACATTTTGCATAGATTTGTTATTATTGATAATGACATTTCTTTCTCTGGATGTGGCATGCAAGGTTTTTCTTTGGCCATTAGTTATTTAATTGAAATGATATCACATATGGACAAAAAGTATTATGGAAATGAGAAAAAAAACGAGAAGAATTATATGGACTGACCATAAATCATATCCGTAGTTGACAGCTTAATGAAATACAAAGGATGCATGCATGTGTAACCCAAAAATGGCCTAATTTATGTAAAATAAAAATGCATAGCAAGGTCGTTCCCTTTTACTATGAATGTGTACTTTTTTCTCCCTGTTAGTATTCTTATTAAATGCCATTTATTAGCTTACAAGCAGGAAAAAAGATAGGATACCTTAAAAAATTTATTCCTTCTTGCATCAAAGTATGAGCAACATTGCATTGTACAAAGTAAGGGGCAAAACTTTATTCAAAATAAATGGGGTAAAGGAGAAGGGCAAATTTTATTTCTCACAACCCTAGGAGAAGGGTTTTTGAATTGAAAAATGATGAAATCAGCATTCGGTATATTGACTGCAGACTTGTAATCACAGCACTAATCATTTTAGAATTATAATCCCCATCATCATAATTCAGAGCCCCAAAAATTTCCTTGTGATTGTGTTACTGCATATTTTTCAACTTCTTTTGTTATAATTTTGAGGATAGATTTTTTTTAGAAGCAAAATGATACTACCTTTTGCTGTGTAAAATAATAATATCATCACACCATCCCCAACATCCATGTCTGGCACCCATTCAAACTCTTCCCCATCAAAAGCCAAACACTCCTGACAATTTAACAGTCTCCTTCCCCACTCTCTCTGTCCCTCTCTCTCTCTCTATTCCCCACACCAAACACAGTTTTCAAAATCCTTTTTTCTTTTGCCATTCCATAATTGCCCAAAGAGCTGGGCCAGAGATAAATATAACCCAAAAGCTACAAACCCTCTTTTAATTCAACCTTCTCTCTGCAATTTTCCTTCAAAAACAAACCAGATCCATCACAATGTTCTTTCCCATTTTCTTCCTCTTTCTCCTCCTTCCTTCACTGTTCAAGCTTTCACATTGCACAACAATTCTAGTAGATGGATCTTCAGAGTGGAAGAACCCTATTGTTTCCATTGGTGATAACATCAGTAAGTACCAAAACAAAAAATAAAAATAAAAATTGAATCTTCATTAGCAATGCTTAACAATAGCTAGCTGCTAACATTACCTCTTCTCTATCTCAGTTTTCAAGCACAAGCAACACTACAACCTCTACATTTTCAAGAACCAAGAAGCCTTCAAGCTCTGCAATTTCACACAAGCCACTCTCCTCACCAACCCGAACACTACCTCCTACACAGTAAGCCCCTTAAAAGCTAACAATTCTATATCTGGGTTCTGCAGAAACAGGTGAAAAGAGTTCAGCTTTGTAATTTTTCTTAACCAATTCTCATGTTAATGTTCTCAGTGGCATCCATCTCGCCCTGGTTTCTTCTACTTCACCTTCCACAATGGCTCACTGAAAGCATGCCAAGGTTCTGAAAAGCTAGCCATAAAGGTTGCTTCGGCAGCAGAACAGTCTCCAATGGCAACACCAGCGCCTTCTTCTGGTGGAGAGGTGCCATCTTCCCCTTCATTTCCATGGCCTTTTCGTCCTCATCAAGCAGCATCACCAGGTCCAGCACCACAAGCAAGTTCACCAGTAACAGTTCCATTAGTACCCGACAAAGGTGGTGGCATGCCCTTCATTAACAGCAACCCTGCAGTTCCTCTCCCTACTGGCGAAGTTGACTCTGCTACCATTCGCCCCTTACCCACCTCTGGCCATGAAGGACAGGTGCCCATACCCCACTTTCTCTCTCTCTCTCTCTCTCTCTCTCTCAAAGCATGCACTCATTTAATGTATAGTATTTCTATTTTTGTTATGCTGCCATGCACTTTACCTGAGATTGCTGAAACAAGAAATTGGAGACCTTATGTGATCTCTTAATTGATGTTAGTGCAACTAAATGTGTGTGTGTGTTTGTTTTGGTGGTAGGTACCTTAATGTGATTTATTAGCTACAAACATGCACATAAATCATAAATGCCTTGTTATCTTTTAGCTGATGTTAGTGCACCCAAATGTGTGTATCTTTAAAGTACCTAAATGTGATTTATTAGCTAGAAACATGCACATAAATAATAAACGTTCTGATCTTTTAATTGATGTTAATGCACCCAAATGTGTGTACCATAAATGTGTTTGTTTGATACAAATAGTGGGATTGATGCGTTACTGATTGGGAGTTGGATTCTATTGTGATTGTGGATGAGTGCAGGTGATGATTGGATCAATTGGATTTCATATTGCTATGCACACCATGGCTTTACTGCTGCTGTAAGGAGTAAGAGAAAGAAAGAGTTGGAGCGCAATTTATGTAAAAAAAAGAGAGAATGAATGGGGTAGGGAGGGTAAGCCAATGAGGTAGCACCATGGGACTGTGGATTGGGTCTAAAGTAGCTTTAAGAGTGATGATTATACCATGTATTAAGATGCTCTTACATTCTACTTTGGAATGGTTGGCACTTTTTGTTCTTTGGATTAGGAAAGCAATCGATTGCTGCATTTGCTTTTCTCTTTTTCCTCTCTAATTCCCCATTGCTTTTCATATTGTTTGGTACATTATGGGGTCCCTAAGATAACCACTGCTTAAAGCATCAGAGCCATGTGGTGGGGAGCTATGAGGTCATGCAATATTCTAAAGCAACACCTGCTGAGTTACTCATGCATAATAAACAATTATAATTAAAAGTAATGTTTTGTTAATTTAATTAGATGACAAAAATCTTAATAGAGTGATAACTTTCTGTAACTGCGATTATTATACTATTCAGAGTGATTATGGAGTTTTTTTTTTTTTTAATAACATGTCACTATTAGAATTAAAATGAAATTAATTGTGTACTTATCGTTTTTATTCATTATTTTGTGTTTATTTGTTTTTTTATTAATACATTATCTACTCTCTCTTTTTTTTTTGTCAAAAGACTTCTTCTATTAATTAACATTTGACAATAATAACACCTCCGATGGGCTTTGTGTCATTAAGCGTGTTGAACCTGGGTTGACCCATTATCACTAGGTATATCCCAAGCCCAAACTCCTACCAAAAAAAATTGGGTTTATAATTTTTTTATAATTTCTTATTTTGGTCCAATTAAGATTCTTTTTCATACCCTGAAAATTGGGAGTCCTGATTAGTCCAATTAGACAGGCTGGCTCGAACTATAGGCTAATAATTGAGTGTTGTTCGGCCTGACTTATCTGAGTTGGACCTACCTGGGCTAACATGGAATTTGATTTTATTGTGAGGATTTTTATTTACACTTTTTTTAAATTATAATATAAGTTAAAGTTGTTTAATAAAGTATCAAATAATTTTAATTTGATATTTATTAAAAATCATTAAGTGAAATAAGTTAATTAATACTTACTTCTAAAGCAAGTAAATCTCTCTCTCTCTCTCTCTCTCTATGTGTGTGTGTGTGTGCGTGTTTTTAATTAATATTTATAATAATATCCATTTTTCTCTCTAAAGTGAATTTAGAGAAGGTAAAACTTGCACAATACACACGCAGTCTTCCTTAACTTCACTCTTTTTTCGTTTACTTGACACCAAAAAAACTTCAAACCCCTTCGAATACACTGTGGCAGAGGAGTCGTTTCCATCGATGACACTATTGCTGCTCCTTATTTTCGGGTTTGGATGTTATTATTTTTAGCACCTCACATCTTCTATTTTAATTAATTTAAATCGATGAATACCAAATAGTGTCTTATGAATTGATTAAATAATTTAAAATAAAAAGCTATTAATATATTTTTATCATATTTTTAATATGTATTTAACTTAATTTTTTAATATCTTAAGAGTGTTAATCAAGATATAAGAATAAAATATTTTCTTAAAAAACGTAAGAGTATATCCGTTTTTATATATTTGAACATAATTTTTAATAAACAAGTATTATTTAATAATTTCTTAAATAGTTTTTAATAAAAAAAGGCAAAAACCCATTTACATTTGCTTAATTTTTATTTATCATCTAGTATGACATCACAGTATTGATCATTAATTTCATGAATCCATAATACACTAAGTTACAAATTAGTGAGAACATCAATTTAGGGTAGAGAGAAGTGGTTCAACCACAACCACAAGGAGAAAGGGGAAAAAGAGAAGCAAGACTTCACTAATGCGACAATCACTAGTGGCGCAGAGGGTAGCAGTGGCTCGTGTGGGACAGAGGACTCATTTTATTTGGAGGGTAAGGGTCAACAAATATTCACGGACGAGCATGTACACAGTGTCCACTGTTAATCCTCAAAAAAACAACGTTGCCTTTTTCTATATTTTTCAAGTTTATAATTAGACTCATGCTAAGGATGTAACCTTGGAGCATGTTGTAGTAGTAATCTCTATTAGAGCTCCACCATCTCATTTTAATTTTTATCATTAGAATCTCTATTTCAACTTGTGATGTAATAATATTGGAGGATTTCAAAATCTTTTCAGACCATGGTTATTCCTTCTTTCTTTCTTTATTATTATTTTTTGGTCTAAAGTTCCTTTTTTTAACTACTTTCCTTTTAATTGTTTCTGGTCTGGGCCGTGATCAATGTGAATGGGCAATATTTGAGGCCTAAACGCTGACAACGCAAACAGTCAATATTCATCTTCACAATGGCCTAGTACTGTATGCTACTTGATCAATTTGTGACAGAGGAGTGAAGTAAGACCACTATTCCTTTGACCAAAAAATAAGAACAGTACTCCGCAAATAATAATTACAGTAATAAAAAAAAAAATCAAAATCTGCAGATGAAAATGGAATAATTAAAAGAAAAGAAACTTCATAATATCCTGAAAAACTAGAGAGATATCTCAGATCAAAATGTTGCTTATCAACAAAGCAGGATATATATCCCATTATTTTTCATATAAATGTATCTTCTATTAACCAAATCAAAGCACAATAGTAGCTCAATTGGTTATTTAAGGAAGCAGTTTAGTTGCATGGTCTTGAATTACAGTAGGTGATGGAGGGGAATGTTGGTGTTGTTGTTGATGATCACAAAAACCCTTCAGAATATCATCCTCTTGAGAGGTGAAGCCAAGAGAGAGAAGCATATCAGGCCAACATTCATGGCCCACAACCCTTATGGCTTGGCAGCAACTTGGACCCAAATATGCCTCACCATTCAGGAAGAACGTTATGACCTCACCAGTGCATGCTTGCAGCTCAAACAATGAGTCCCAGCACTCTGTTGATTCACCATCTAGCTTCAGCCTTGTACCCAAAGTGGAGTACTTTGATCCTGCACTTAATGTGGCACTATTGGATGGTGAAGCAATGGTCAGTGCCAGAAGAATTGTCACACCAAAGAGCTTCTGAATGGAAGCCATTTTTGGGTAAGAATGTTTAGAGTGTAGGGAGATTCTATGTTGAGTTTGCGTTTGGCATATGATCAATGGCCTTATATAGAGATTCCTCAGTGCAAAAGATTAAAATCTTATATTGTAAATTAATGGTTCAATGTAAAGTATTGGTACAAGGAAAGGTCAAGAGACATACGAGACTGAAAACGGCTCATTGAGTAGTGGCTATTTCATAATGCTACGTATTTATTAAACCGTTTTGTTTCTAGTGTATCTTTTTTTTTTTTTTTTGCTTTTGTCCAAAGATCCAAGCCGAACGCAGAGCCAAAAAGAGGCCCAAGGCCTAGAAAAATACAACAGTGGCCAACCCAAAACAACATGCATGTTGACCAAACAAAAAGTCTTCACCTACATGCATGATGGTATTTTTAATGGTGAAACTAATTCATTACTTTTCACCACTCAAAATTTAATTATGACATAGTAATTAGTAATCCGTGATCTAATTCTAACATAGTAAGTGAAAAAAGGCGCTAATTTTTACATTACACTTTTATTTTCTCTTTCAGCTGTCTCTGAAAAAAGGCTCACCACACTATAAAGCCAATCTTCAATGGCTTTAGGCCTCCACAAGGCCCTTGTGTGTTAAACAATACTGTTGTTTTTAATATTTTATCCTTGTAAATAAAAAGTTATTAACGAATTATTAGCAATAGTTAAGAATAAATATTTAAAATATAGATCCTTTATTTTGAAATAATCAAGTTGTAATAGCCACAAAAAAAAACAAACTTGTTGATGTTATTTAAAAACTAAGAAACAAATTATTAACCGATTGACAGATAATAATAAAAAATAATTTATTATTGATATTATATTTAATATTAAAGAAAATTAAAATACAAATATTCATAAATGTTAGTCATCTACTGTAATAATATAGTACGTAATTTATACCTCAACAAAACTGAAAGATAAAAATATATGATTTTAATAAATTATACAATTAATAATTCATTTTAAAAAAAAATTGCTTTAAGCCTATATATCCACTAGGTCAGGCGCATTTACTATTTAGGTATATATACTTAAGGAGGTGTCCATAAAATATTTTACTTAATGTAATAGTCACTACCAATGGACAATTTATAACAATGGTTGCACATGATATTTATTATTACAAACGTGCATTCCTATCAATATAAACATGATATAAAAGTATTAATTAACTTAACTTTTGGATGAAAACTTAACATTATAAATGTTGCAAGCATATATCAAAATCATTTTTATAATATTTTAGGGAATAAAACATAACAGCTATTATCTAAGAAAAGTATCATTCCTAGAAATTATTATTATTAAATGAAATGTTTATTATTATTAACAATGCTTTATTTTAATTTTTAATATAACATCTCCTTAACCATATCTCCATTAAGAAATGTCATGTGGATGATGGCACCATGCCTTAGCGCACCTGTGTGTCTGTGTTCCCTTACGATTCTAAATGGGACCCACAACTAGCCTACGTGTCTCTATATTTTGCATACGTGCAACATGCGATCACCGTAAACAAATACTGTGCTTAATTGCCAATCATTATCTTTTTAATTAATTACTATATCACACAAGCCTCGTCATGTGTGACAGGTGCCCTCAAATATAGGACCTGAATTTTATGTTGCTATTTTAGGATTAAGTTTATTCTCAATTATTATTATTATTATTATTTAAGACATCTTTATTTAAAATATTTTAAATTATATTAAAAGTAAAAGTATTATCTATATACACTTTTTTTTTATAAAAGTCATATATCTAATATTTTACAGATTAAAAAATATTAATGAATAATATTTTTATTTACAATATAATATTTAATATTATAATTTTTAATTTTTTATGAAAAAACTATCATATATAACTTTTCACCGTATGTTCTTGAAAATACATTTAAAAAATCATAAATTAATTAACCATAATAAATGATGATATAAAATCTTGAGGTAACATGAGGTTCATTTCAAGCGTATAAATGTTTTGTTGGTAAAAGCCTTGAAGGCTATTGATTATTTGTTTCTTTTTGGAGTAAACCTGTGAGCAAGATTACCAGATGATGCTTGCCACCATGGAAATTTGGATAATGAGGATTTACCAGAATTTAGATGATTCTGTTCTCTAATTATCACGGTTTCTGTATACTCTGATTAGGTGAGGCCAATTGTTCAACTGCCCATTGATTATTGTGTAAAAATAAACTTAACCATCTTTAATTAGTGTACCATCCTACCTATTTCACCACTTACAATTTGATGGGTTGAGATTAAGTGCATACATAAAATATTTATTGACTTATTAGAAGATCCTAGCTGGGTAGTGCATATAGTGCAATCCTAGACGATGATTTTTCTTCAATTAAAGGTAGAAGATTATTAAATTGACTAAGAAAGGCTTTCAACTGATTCACTCTGAAGATCCAACAACTACACTGTTGTCTTTCAGTGGAAACTTGCTTAGTCTCTTATTCCTCCATGCACTCGAGACTTCCTTGAAAAACAAAGCTAGATGAATTGAGTCGCAAAGAAGAAACCAAAAAGCCAATCTATAGTGTATCACACTCATGGTCTATAGTCCACATACTTTACAATTATTGTTCCTTTGGCTTTTGCTTATTTAAAATCTTTATCTTTCCACCTTTGCCTTTTCTACCAAGAGTTTCAATAAAAACATAGTGAGAGTCACGTTGGTGGAAACTTGCTTTTCATATGCATTGTTGCACATGTATTTAGTATATACACATGAAATTAACTTATTGTTGGGCTTGGGAACAATTATGAAAAGAAACTTATGAGAACATTGAGACAGTTTCTTTTTGTATGCAACAAGTGAGAGTATATTTAAGGTGGGAAGAAAAAAAATTTAAAAAGAGAAGGAACATTGACTGACCCTTTTACTATGCTTCATTTGGAGACATCAAATTTTTACCACATGACTTCAAATTGCTTAGTTTGATAAAATATTCCTTTCTCTATACGATGTAGATTAAAAACAAAAAGAGATCAAAGAAAAGTTCATTTTTTTTGTTACAATCACTGCAAAAATCATAGAACGAATCCAAGTTCAGAGCATACGCTACAATCCAAACAAAATGTCCCGTCATTTCATGAATATAGAAAATTGAAAGAAGAATACTAGTCTATTTCATACACCAGAGTTTACATATCTCCACGAAAGTGACAATACATGTTACTTATATGACATAATTCACTGGTGCCCCATCCCAAAGCTTTGTTCTGTATTTACCACCTAATTAAGAAACGCAATCATAGACTAGGAGAATGTGACCTATCTCAACATTAAAGACTATATGGTCCCCTACTTTGTCTTTTAACCAAACTCACTCAGATAGTTATGTGGATCAAAATAATTACTTTACGTATGTTGCACCAAAAACTTATTAGTTAAGCTATCTAATTAATTGACCAAAAGAAAAGCTATCTACATAGAATACTTCTTTCGTTAATGTATACTATTATAGTATTATGATCACAGATTAGTAGTTAAGTATGTCCAAATTTAGTGGGTGGAAGGTTCACTTAAAGCATTAATATACCTACCCAACCTGATCTCAGCCATCAAAAATGAAGTTTAACTGAAATTAATGCAGGGATCAAATACAATGAGACTTGATTAGTATAGAAGATTTATTGGATCTTTCACAATTTAATACAAAGTTTACCCTGCTCAGGACAGTGGCAATATTGTCAGATACGTTTGGTGCTAATAAATATTGAAGACATTAATAGATGGGTACAATCTGCTATAGGATAATGGAACCATCTAAATTGGCCCACACGCCTAATCCTGTCCAAGGGACGTACCCTTTTGGTTGAAAATATCTGTGAAATTCCTCCTTTGCATTCTCTTGCTTTCCTGAGAAATTATTCATCCTTTTGTAAGAAAGAAAACTTGAGTAATGTTGTGGAATGTCATCTGTGGAAAGAAGGGTATATTTGGACATTTGGTACAGAGGAAGTGATAGAGTTGATTTCTAGCATATTCAGAATCAAAACTGTTGTGTTTATAATGAAACAACTGTCATATGATGTTAAAATAATGCTTTGTCTATTTCTCACTAAAAGATAACAGAGAAATGATCTTGTTTATTGTTGTGGTTGTTCAATTGCTTTCACAGGCTATAGTCAAATCAGAACCGAAACAATATGCAGTTGTTTCCATTATATGTTTCACTCATTCTTTTCTCTCTTTTTTTAAATATTTTTATTGTACATTTCGTGAACAATGTTTTTGTTTTCATTCTCCACGTTGAAGAATTTAGTCATGAAAACAAAATTAATTAGCATGGTTTATGAAACTAATGCTTGAAATAAACTTATGAAAACAATTAAAAGTGGAGAGTACAGAGAGGTTATATTTGATAGGGTAAAATTAAGAACTACAAAAAAACAGAGATATACATTTTTTAATAATGAAAGCAATGCATCTAAATTATTCAACATTATTCAATAATTAAACTAGTTTAATTAAAAAATTTCACTGAAACCACAAATTGTTGACAATAGAAAACTGTCGGCAATAGTAGGTTTATCAAGATGGTGGCAACGTTTACTTTGTTAGGGCAAGCCTTAGTATAAAAATAAGAAAACACCACAAGATTTATTCTAATAATATTTATAATTCCATTTTATGAATTTTCCGCTTGTCTTCTGATCTTCTTTTTCTTTTCTTATATAACTTTGATAATGATTCACGACCTTATCCCTATGAAATATGCAAATTAAGCCAAATCAAAATCAAGCATATACCTTTGTATATATGAAAAATATAAGCATAGACCCAGGTATAATGGAGTTTCATGGTCGAAATTCCGAATTTGTAGGGGCATTGAACCAATTCTAAGTTCTATCCTACTGTATTTAAACACTAAAATCATGATCTTACCTTTATTTAATATATGTAATCGGTAACATCCCACGAAGATAGAGCATATTAATGTTCTCTAA